GAAAATTTGGGTTGAACCCGACCCGATTTCAAAACGGGTCGGGTTCGAGTTCCAGAAATTGACCCGTTTAAAAAACGGGCCGGGTTCGGGTTGACCCGGCGGGTTGCCGGGTCAACCCGTGAACCTGTTTAATTTGAACTGCCCTCGGCCCCCTGTTGCCCGCGGCCCCCTGCTGCCCCAGCTGCACCTGCTAGCGCCGGCGCCCCGTGCCCGAGGTTGCTTGCGCGTGGCCGCGCACCCGCGCTCGCTCGCACCCGTGCCTGCCAGCACCCGAGCGCTCACACAAGCACCCGTGCTTGCAATGCGCACCTCCCTCGCCCACGCACGCGCTTGCTCGCTCCAGCGTGCGCCCGCTCTAGCTCGACTGCGTCCAAGCGTTTCGGGTACCGTGTCGGGTCGGGTCAACCCGACAACCCGCAGGGTCAGGTCCGGGTTCGAATTTCCAACCCGTTTGTCTACTCGGGTCGGGTTAGGGTCGACCCGTTTGAACCCGGATCAGTTCCTGATTCGATTCAAACCCGACCCTTGACCCAGATTTGACACCCCTATGGCTAATGACACTAGCAACTCATATGATAGTGAGAAGGTTCAGTGCTCACCCTCGCATATAGAAATTATAATAAACCTAAAAAACTTGTTGTCTTTTCTTTATGCTCATAAACTGCCCATCTTACATATTGTATAATCTATATTTTTATAATTCACATATACATCATTATCAAATAAAATATATAAATTAATATATGCAATTGAAATTAACAGTATTTGAAGAATAAAATAGTTGACAAAGGAGTTATTTGGGATGGAAAATAGTTTTTTTGTGAGGATTGTTGCAAAACTACTGTGGAGAAAGAGGTTTTTTTTAAGCTCATATAAAAAAAGCAATTTATTTGAAAGTGTTGCAAAGAGCAATCTTCTTGCACAAAATTTCTTGAGAATAATTAAAAAATAATGGTCAAATAAAAACTGTGGTTGCAATCTAAAAAGTTAATTAGTAAAAAAGATGTTACAAATAAAACCTTAATCCAACAAATTAGGAATATGCTTGAAGTAAAAGTTGGCCTTTTTCACATAGAAATATGTAGAACTATCATATTAGGAAAAAACTCAAATTTATGTGACAATTTATTAAAACATTAACATATCTTAATTTTAATAAAACTCAGGTGAATAAAGTAAGATGAAATACAATAGAGGCTAAAGTTTTGGAATCTACAGATCATCATTGTCTATTAGTTGGGAGCTTCGATGTTGGATTCATGCTTTCGTATGTGATGTGTATGTGAATTTATCTAATTTAACCTAAATATCACAGCAACAAAAAGACTGAAATAAAAAACAAAGTAGTAGTAACCTATCTTATCTAGAATATTTTTTTCTAACTAGCTTGACTCCTATATCAAATTCTAAGCCCTACAAATAAAAAATTTCTCTATAATTGCTCTCCTTCCTTTTCATATACTCTTAAATAAATGTTGGATTGAAGATACAAAGAAAAGGAATAGAGATTATAAATTTCATAAGTAAATGTTTAAGTGATGGAAATGGAATATTCTATGAATAACTAAAACTTTTGAAGAAACTGTTCATATTTTATGAGCAACTAGCACCAATTCACAGTTGAATCTAAGGCTTTGAAAATATTATGACATGCATATTTGAAGTTTTCTGCATAAAAAAATCGCATGAAGAACTACAGAGCCATGTTAGTGTAGCTGTATTAGATCATAAAATATTCTCAATCATTAAATGACGACAAAATCCTTAACAAAACCTATATAACAACTGCGCATTATTTATTAATCATATTCCTTATCAAAACTTCAATAAAAATTTTTATCAACAGTCATTTTTACATGGAGATTCATTTATCATCAAATAGCCATGAAAAGAAGTTTCTTTTAAAAATTTATTAGCATGAAATGTTTGCCTCTTGGTACTTTCTCTGATGTTCTGATACATAGTTGATTACATCTTGCAATCCCTTCCATGAAGACCCCCCTTCCTCCATGGCTGCCCTTGCTTGCTTGCCAAGCTCCCTTGCTCTCTGCCTTCTCTCTTCCCCCGCCTCTCCGCCCCCCATCAAATTCTCCACAACCCTCTCAACCTCCTCCCTCCTCACTTTCACCTCCACTTCAGTACGATTCTCTACATCTAAATAATCTGTTGGTTCGATTCCAACAGCCACCCCACTCTTAAACACCTCCACTACCAATCGCTCATTCAAGAACTGGTCATATATATGCGGCCATGTTGCCATAACCACCCCCGTCGTCAATGCCTCCAATATCGAGTTCCACCCGCAATGTGTCACAAATCCACCCACCGCCACATGCCCCAATATCACAGCCTGCGGCGCCCACCCCCTTATTATCATTCCCCTCCGCTCCACCCTTTTCTCAAACTCCGTTATCCACTCCTCCGCCCCAGGGACTTTCTTGTCCACCACTTCCTTCACCACCCAAATGAATGGTCGCCCGGATGCTTCCAGCCCGTGACCCAGCTCAATGAGTTGTGCCATTGTGTTGCATATGATGCTTCCAAAGCTCACAAGCACCACTGAACCAATCTCTTGCCTATCTAGCCATTGGAAGAGGATATTGTTATCAATAGATGAAGCCCTCCCACGTGCCGCCTTGACATCAAGCTCTTCTTTATAGAGTGAGAGCGGCCCTACAGGCCACACTGACTTGCTCTTTTCCTTACGGTACCTCTCAAAGTACCAAGGCTCAAGCTCCATGAAGCTGTTGACAAGCACACCGTCGGCAAATTCTTCTGCCGATCGAATTGTTTCCATGTATTTGGACTTGTCAGGGTCTGAGGGCGAGAGCGTGATCACCTCGTGCTTACTTATTCGAATGGGATGTGGGAGGCCCTGAAGCATGGTGAACCCATCTGACGCTGCCGCCACTGCAGCCTCAAGCTCAGCTCTGTGTCGATTGATGAGGAGATCGCACAAGATGAAGAAACAAGATGGGCCATGGAAGATGAGACGGGGAATGTTGAGGGACTGCGCGACATCAACAGTCCAATGTTGGAGGTTGTCAGAGATGAGACAAGCAGGCTTGGGCCATCCAGCCTTGTCTGGAATGCGTAGGTAGGCCTCAAGCGGGTCGCGGAGGAGGGATAGAGCATTCAGAAAAGGGAGTATAAGATCCACGGAGGGGAGGAGGTCAACACTTTCGCAACCTTCAGGGAGGCCAACATCAACAACTGGGAAGCGGAGTTCAACGAAGCGAATAGGTAGGCTGGAGGCGGTGGCTTGATCGATGATGGGACGGATGCGATTTAAGTTGACCGGCGTAGTGGCAAAAGTAACGAGGGCGTCATGGGCTGCAAGTAGTCTAGCTAGATCGACCATGGGGATCATATGACCTTGTTGCATCAAAGGGATAAGAAGAAAGTGGAGGGGCTTTGTTTTTGAGCTGCACTTAACATCTTCAGAGCTCATCGTGGCTGGACTGGATGATGAAATGCTTTTGCTCTACTCGTAGGAAATTTAAAGAGTGCAGCTAAACACCATATTCGTTAGGAAATGACCGTTTTGTTTTTCAAAATATTTAAATGAAATAATACTAACGGTGAGAAGGTCGGATATTGCTTCATTGCTTGGCCACCAAGAAAAAATGTGATAGCTTTCTTGCTTGGCCACCACGCCCTCAATAACAAAGAGTGACGCCTTCCCATGCGTAAGCTCTGTTGTCTGAGCCTTTTCTGTGTGCTCCTCATCAATAATTGAGAAAACATCTTACATCTTCAACGTGCCTGTTAAAGTCCTCCCTTATCAAGAGAAATTATTATGTGAGGTTCTGTGTGGAGATTGGACTCAGCTCTATATCGGAGGTGAATCAGGTGCAATCAGGTAAGTACGATATGCAACAAAAAAATGATATGATGCATTCTAAATGATCTCCAAATAATATTCGGCGGCCAAAATAATTAATCCTTAGGCCCTTCTGAAACCGAGCCTCATGCAGTTTCTACTGCAACAAACAGTTTACTATACCCTCTCCAATTTTTTAGATCTATTGAAATTTCGAAAGATAAATTTTTTGGGTATCCAACACATGCTGCAGTAAATTTTTTTATATTATTATTTATTATTATTTTTTTTTTACATCCTGAAGTAAGTTCTTTAGTGCCTTGGCCTGCAATTTTTGGGAATAATTTTTTTGCCACTGGATGATGATCAAAGCAAAAAAAAAACTCTATAAAAGGTACGCTGTGACATATAAAAGGTACGTTGGACTTTGGTATTCCTATTATAAAATCTAATCTCGTTCTCACCTCCTTTTCAGATGCCGACTGGGCTGGAGATCCCATCACCCGGAAATCTACTTCTGGATATTGTATTTTTCTTGGCAAAACAATCATAACTTGGACGGTTAAAAAGCAACACACCGTTGCAAGATCCTCCAAAGAATCTGAATAAAGATCATTAGCGGCCCTTACCTCCGATATAATTTGGCTGTGAAGACTACTAGCTGAGTTCGACATCTCTCCAGATCAACCCACAGATATGCATTGCGACAGCATGTCCGCCATCGCTTTAGCCAACAATCCGGTGTTTCATGACTGCACAAAGCACATTGAGATCGATCAAAAGTTCATAAGAGATCATATTCAACATAACAACATTCGTCTTTTACCCATAAGCACTATTGATCAGGTGGCCGATATATTCACCAAGCCACTGTCCACAAGAAGATTTCATCAACTACGACTCAAACTTACGGTCGTTCAAGACCAATCAATTTGCAGGGGATATTAGAGGACAATTCAAAATAACATTTATTTGTTAATACAATTGGCATCACCTCATTGGTTCTAGCTTGTCTTAAGTCTTGTCCTTTTCCTATATATGGATACCTATATTGTACTCTTGGAATATGAAAAATAATACATCTTCTTCTTTATTTCTTTCTGTTCACTGTTTCCCTATCTTCCTGCGTACTGCTTCTCTGTTTCTTCACTAGTAACCTATCTTATCTACAATATTTTTTCTAATTAGCTTGACTCCTATATCAAATTCTAAGCCCTACAAATAAAAAATTTCTCTGCAATTGCTGTCCTTCCTTTTCATATACTCTTAAATAAATGTTGGATTGAAGATACAAAGAAAAGGAATAGAGATTATAGATTTTATAAGTAAATGTTTAAGTGATGGAAATGGAATATTCTATAAATAACTAAAACTTTTGAAGAAACTGTTCATATTTTATGAGCAACTAGCACTAATTCACAGTTGAATCTAAGGCTTTAAAAATATTATGACATACATATTTAAAGTTTTCTACATAAAAAAATCGCATGAAGAACTACAGAGCCATGTTAGTGTAGCTGTATTAGATCATAAAATATTCTCAATCATTAAATGACGACATAATCCTTAACAAAACCTATATAACAACTGCGCATTATTTATTAATCATATTCCTTATGAAAACTCCAATAAAAATTTTTATCAACAGTTACTTTTACATGGAGATTCATTTATCATCAAATAGTCATGAAAAGAAGTTTCTTATACAAATTTATTAGCATGAAATGTTTGCCTCTTGGTACTTTCTGTGATGTTCTGATACATAGTTGATTACATCTTGCAATCCCTTCCATGAAGACCCCCCTTCCTCCATGGCTGCCCTTGCTTGCTTGCCAAGCTCCCTTGCTCTCTGCCTTCTTTCTTCCCCCGCCTCTCCGCCCCCCATCAAATTCTCCACAACCCTCTCAACCTCCTCCCTCCTCATTTTCACCTCTGCTTCATTACGATTCTCTACACCTAAATAATCTGTTTGTTCGATTCCAACAGCCACCCCACTCTTGAGCACCTCCACCACCAATCGCTCATTCAAGAATTGGTCATAGAAATGCGGCCATGTTGCCATAACCACTCCTGTTGCTAGTGCCTCCAATATCGAGTTCCACCCGCAATGTGTCACAAATCCACCCACCGCTACATGCCCCAATATCACCGCCTGCGGCGCCCACCTCCTTATTATCATTCCCCTCCCATCCACCATCTTCTCAAACTCTGTTATCCACTCCTCCACCCCAGTGACCTTCTCCTCCATCAGTTCCTTCACCACCCAAATGAATGGTCGCCTTGATGCTTCCAGCCCGTGACCCAACTCAATGAGTTGGGCCATTGTGTTGCGTATGATGCTTCCAAAGCTCACTAGCACCACTGAACCAACCTCTTGCCTATCTAGCCATTGGAAGAGGATCTTGTTGTCAATAGATGAAGCCCTCCCACGTACCGCCTTCACATCAAGCTCTTCTTTATAGAGTGAGAGTGGCCCTACAGGCCACACTGGCTTGCTCTTTTCCTCACGGTACCTCTCAAAGTACCAGGGCTCAAGCTCCATGAAGCTGTTGACAAGCACACCATCGGCAGATTCTTCTGCCACTCGAATGGTTTCCTTGTATTTGGACTTGTCAGGGTCCGAGGGCGAGAGCGTGAACACATCTTGCTTGCTGATTCGAATGGGATGTGGAAGGCCCTGAAGCACAGTGAACCCATCTGACGCTGCCACCACCGCAACCTCAAGCCCAGCTCTATGTCGATTTATGAGGTGATCGCACAAGAGGAAGAAGCAAGATGGGCCATGGAAGATGAGACGGGGAATGTTGAGGGGCCGCGCGACATCAACAGTCCAATGATGGTGGTTGTCAGAGATGAGACAATCAGGCTTGGGCCATCCAGCCTTGTCTGGAATGCGTAGGTAGGCCTTGTGGAAACGAGTGTGCCAGCGAGAGAAGAGTTCGCCGGACTTGGAGAAGACAAGCTCACAAGAAGACAGAAATGGAAAATGATTTATTTCATTGGTTGCTTTACATCAGAGTACACATACCTATAAATAGATGAGACAGAGTAACTTTACACATGTCAGCAAATGATATGTTTACAAGAAGCTTATTAACAGGTTATTACAGGTAGCTAATTGATTAGGTGCTAATATTCCCCCTCAAACTTGCGATTCCTCTATGATCGTCAGCTGGGATCGCAAATATTTGAACCGAAGAGTAGGAAGAGGTTTGGTAAATATGTCTGCGATCTGATCCACAGTGCTTATTGGAAGAAAACTGATGGTTTTGTTTGAAATATGATCTCGGATGAATCTTTGATCAATCTCAATATGCTTCGTGCGTGCGTGGAAGACCGGATTGTTCGCCAAAGCTATTGCCGATGTATTGTCACAATACACTGCAATCGGGGTATTGTGCAGAATGTTGAAATCAGCAAGAAGACGTTTCAACCAGATTGTGTCCGCGGTAGCTGCGGCCAATGCCCTGTATTCGTATTCTGTGGACGATCGAGATACGGTGTGCTGCTTCTTCACGGTCCAGGAAACCAGTGTGTCTCCTAGAAAAGTGCAAAAACCAGATGTTGATTTCCTGGTTATCGGATCCCCTGCCCAGTCGGCGTCTGAGAAAGTGCGAAGGATCATGGAGGATTTTGTAATAGGTAGTCCGAAGTTGATTGTGCCACGGATATACCGAAGGAGACATTTTAAGAGATGAAAATGAATGGGTTGAGGATCGTGCGTATGCTGAGACAGAGTGTTGGTGGCATGAGCTATGTCTGGACGCTTAATGGTTAAATACTGAAGTGCTCCCGTGATTTTCCTATAGGTGACAGCATCTGAAATGGTATTGTCTTGTTTGAATTGAATGGGCTGTTTAGTAGAAGATGGATTAGACAGAGAATTGCATTGTTGTAGATTAGTTTGCTCAAGTAGAGATTGAGCATAAGATTGCTGTGACAAAAAATACTTATCTTGCGTGGATTGAATAGTGATCCCGAGAAAATGACGAGCTAAGCCGAGTTGTTTCATAGTGAATTTGGAGTGTAAGTTGTGTAGAAGATTGGCTATGGCTTCGTTGTCGTTGCCCGTGATTAGAATATCGTCCACATACACAAGTAGAAACAGCTGAGTGTGTTGCCGACGGTAGACGAGCAGCGAGGGATCTGCCTTGCTATGCTGAAAACCGATATTGATGAGATGAGTAGTGAATGTGGTGTACCACTGTCTAGGAGCCTGTTTGAGCCCGTATATGGCTTTCTTGAGACAGCAGACGTGGTCCGGTGACATGTTGTCTTCGAAGCCTTTGGGTTGACGCATGAATACCGTTTCGTCCAGGCTGCCATGAAGAAATGCATTCGTGACGTCAAGCTGCTGCACTTGCCATCCATTGTATAATGCAACGGTGAAGAGAACCCGGATGGTGGGCAGCTTTGCAACGGGGCTGAAGGTTTCTTCATAATCCAGTCCATGTTCTTGCCGGTTGCCTTGTGCGACGAGACGAGCCTTGAATCTTGATACTGTCCCGTCTGAATTAAATTTCTTGTGAAATGTCCATTTGCACCCGAGAATGGATGCATTGGACGGTGGTGCGACTAGGTCCCAAGTGCCTTGCTGTTGAAGCGCCGCAAACTCCTCTGCCATAGCTTGATGCCATTCAGGATGCTTGATAGCTTCGGAGTAGCTTGTGGGGACATTTTGTGTTTCCAGTTGAGCAACCTGATGAAGCAAATTTAAACGAGAGATTGGTTTAAGGGAACCTGTTTTGGATCGAGTTGTCATGTGATGTTGTGTGGTAGGCTGAACATAAGAAGGATCTTGATTTAGAGCAGAGGAGATTCTGGTCGGTGAGTGGGATGTAGTTGTAGATTCGAGTAGGGGAGGCAGCGTAGTTGGTATGTTGCTGGAGTTGATCAATGCAGGACGATATCCTTCCTGCACTTTGGAGACCGGTAGAAGAAGTTGAGTGGGCAGAGCTTGCATTGGTGTGGTGAGAGGTGGAGACTGTTGTTGAAAAGGAAACAAGTTCTCAATGAATTGAACGTGTCTAGAGATAGTTATGGTATTGGTTTCTTGGTTAAAACACTTATATCCTTTGTGCTTGTCTGAGTAGCCCAAAAACACGCAGGTAGCAGATTTGGGTTGAAGTTTGTTAAAAGAATGCGGCGGGAGGAGAGGGAAACAAGCGCAGCCGAATGTTCTCATGTGAGCGTAGTCCGGAGAAGTGTTGAACATTAGTTGTAGCAGGGAGTAGTTCTGGTTGGTGTGAGAGGGAAATCTGTTGATTAGGTACACCGCTGTATCGACTGCTTCATACCAGTAGGTAAGAGGTATAGAAGCCGTATGAAGCAAAGTCTTGGTTGTATCGAGAATGTGGCGATGCTTGCGCTCTGCCACTCCATTCTGTTCCGGTGTATATGGACAAGATACCTGATGATGAATGCCATTAGATCTAAGGTAGGATTGAAATTGGTGATTTATATACTCACCTCCTCCGTCAGTGCGAATTGCTTTAACTTTGTGATTCGTTTGTTTTTCAATAAAAGCAATAAACTGAATAAAGTGTCGCACGACATCAGATTTAAAAACTAACGGAAACAGCCAACAATAGCGAGAGTAATCATCAATAATGAGAAGGTAATATCTAAATCCGTGGTAGGTGGTGACCGAAGACGGTCCCCACACAGAGTGCAATAGTTGAAGTGGTTTATTAGTTCTATTTGCAGAAAGAGCAAATGGCAGTTTATGGCTTTTACACATTTTGCAAGAAACACAATTGTAATATTTTTGAGAAATATGAAGACTATGATGCGTTCTTGAAATGTGCTGTATAGTTCTATGGTGAGGATGACCGAGTCATTGATGCCAGTTTATCGTTGAAGCTGCTACAGCCGACAGAGCTTGTGGAGAAGTAGCTGCTTTCTTTATTGCAATGGGGTAGAGACCCTGTTTACATGGACCGGTGAGAAGAACTTTGTTGTTCTGCAAATCCTTAAAAGTGAAACCATCAGGAGTAAAAGTAATAGAAATTTGATTATCAGAAACAAGATTGGATATGGATAGAAGGTTATGAGATATGGAAGGTATATGAAGTAATTTGGATAAAATTAACTTACGATCTGGTGTTGGGAGCAGACCCGTACCCGAGTGAGCGATCGGGATGGATCGTCCGTCCCCAACCATCACCTGATCAGAGCCATGGTAGCTTGAACCTTGACTGAGTTGATCGTTCCGATTCGTCATGTGCGCTGACACGCCTGAATCCAAATATCAGTCTGTGGATGTGGCCTCTGTTGAGGCAAGCAGCGCGTTGTTTGTGTCATTGTTGTTTCTTGGTGTAGTGTAGTTTGGATCATGACGATGCCAGCACGCATCCGCAGTGTGACCTCTTTTGAGGCATATTTGGCATTGAGTTGAGGATTTCGATCCTTGTTTTGGTGTTGTACCAGAGAAAGATTGATTACGACCCCTGCCCCTACAACCGCGACCTCGGTTTGCATATAACGCAGTTGTGGGTTCTTGCTAAATTGCTAGACGCAGTGTGTCCGTTTGAATGTGAATTTCCTCGCTGATTAACATTGCATACAGGTTATCAAGCTTGAGAGGGGTCTGTAGTGTCCGGATAGCCGTTTTAAACGATTGATATGCAGGTGGAAGCCCATTCAGAATATGGAGGATGATATCCTCAGTGTCAATTGTGGAGCCAGCAGAGGCAATGTTGTCCATGATCTTCTTTATCTCGGTAAGATAGGTTTGCATAGTCATGTTTTTCATGGCTATGTTGTGTAACTCATTCTTGAGTTGCATGACCTTGTATCTGATCAAGGGCGATAGTGATGCAACTCAATTTGAACCTGCCACAACTACCAAAGATATGAATGGTCACCAACAGCTAAAGCAGGAATAATTTTGTGATGAGCAAGTCAACTTTTCTCCAACCAGTTTTTTCTGCTACATCATATTCTTGAGCTTCTCTTGAATGAAGGCACTATCGATGGAGCAGCATTTAGCCTGGATTATTTTTCATCTGAATTTAGGGTTTAGGGTATGCATAAGTGAGGCCCATAGTATTGATTCTTTTTTATGTAAATTTCTAGCAAGTACTGTATTTTAGTTTGTTCATTGTTTCAACGAATGATAATTAATTTTCAAGCAAGTTGCATCCCTTTTTCCCTTTTTGTGAGTTATTTTCATCATTCAAGATTTCTTCTTATGAAGCTCATAAAAATTTCCTATAACATTACCGTTTTGATAGGTTGCTCATGTGTATATAAGATTACAGTAGACAGTGGACATTAAGGTTCTGTATTTAAAAAAAAATTATAAACGTTTGTGATGGTTATAACGGTCACAATATTTCAAAATTGTAGTGGTTATAACCACCACAATCCTAGAAATCAATTTATTTGTGATGTATTTATCCACCACAATTCTGAAATATTGTGAGAGTTATAACTACTGCTACATCCGCTACTTCCTCAAATATTCCCCGTTGGTCTTTAAACTACTGTGAATGTCGTTGCAGCGCATTGCAATTACAACGGGGGTGCTTCAGTTTTAAAACCTTCGGGAATGCAATATGAGAACAAGGGTCATTTCATGTCATCTTTGGGTCTTCGGGTAAACCCGTCGGGTAAACCCGAATCCAACCCGATTTTTAAAATGGGTCAAAATCTCAAACTCGAACCCTACCATATGACAAATGGGTTGACCCGAATCCAAAATTTTCTGGGTCAAGTCTAGATCAAGTTTTGTGTCGAGTCAAATATTGTCACCCCTAGTTAAAACATTATTAAATTGGATCAAGGCGGAGATTATTTGTATTTGGTCCAGTTTTAGCTATTATGTTTCTTTGGTTTATCTTACCCTACTATTAAATTTTTAACTATTTGATAGTGTTATAAGTAGAGGTTAGAGTTTTCCGTAAAGAATGGGAAAAAACAATAATATTCAGTTCTGTTTTTACTGTAAATTATATTCTCCATCTCTCCCTTCCCTTTCTCTCTCTCTCTCTCTCAAGGTGGAAGAAACAAGAAGTAGAATTTTCCTCTAATGTTTTCACAACATAAGCTAATAGAGAACATGTTGCTTGGAATTAGCAAGGCTGATGTGCTTGCAAATGATGGAATTTCAGAGTGCCCGGCAACTTGATTTTGTGCAAGAAAACATCCAGAGGTTGGAGAAAGCCTTAGTTGGTAAGCTTATAGGCAAACGGCTCCCACAATTTCTTCTACATAACGAGCTCAAGAAGAGATGGTCCCATTTGGGTAAATTTGAATCTATTTCCATTGTGTCGAATTATTTTATTTATCTATTTGAGAAGGTTGAAGTGAGGGATGCTATCCTCTTGGGAGGCCCTTGGATCATTTCTAGACACATTATAGGCTTCGACAAATGGTCGCCATCTTTTTCACCAAATTCAATGCAAGAATTACATTCACCAATTTGAATCTGGTTTCTACACTTGCCACTCATGTGTGGGGATCATTTAAATATCACTCGTATTGCTGCCAAGGTCGATGGATGCGTCGACTACTTTGTGTGCTAGATGTGCATATGTAAGGGTTTGTGTTTGAGTTGACCTCGCACAGAGACTGCAACAAAGAGTTTGGATCATCGGCATTCGAGGTAATTTTTTTTCAAAAAGTGGAGTATGAGGGCTCTCTCATATTTTCTTCAATTGTGGGTTCATTCGTCGAAAGGTTGACTTGTGCTCAACCATAAAGCAACCCTAACCCGCCTCTATGCCATCACCACATCAATCTGCTCTCAATATTCATCCTGGTGATGGGAAATTCAACCCCATTTGCGCCCAAACAGCTCTTAATGCTAAAGGTATCAGCTATGAGCAAAAGCCTCAACCACCAACTTCACAAATACCTCTCCATAGTGTATAAACACTATCCAAACAGCAACATGCTGCCCTTCCTAGCCATTCTCCCAAGCACCATTTCAATATCAACTCTCCAATTCTCAGTGGGGAGACAGGCAAACATCTAGACAACATCATTGGCGGTAGGGGTGTCAATATTTGACACGACATGAAAACCCGATCCGGAAAATCCGGGTTGGACCCGATCCGATTTCAAAATGGGTCGGGTTCGGGTTGACCCGACGGGTTGGGTCCAGTCCGAGTTTCCAACCCGTTTATATACCCGGGTCGGATTAGGGTCGACCCGTTTGAACCCGGGTCAGTTCCGGATTCGACCAGAATCCGACATGTGACCCGAAATTGACACCCCTAATTGGTGGGGTCGTGCTCCCCTTAGGTGTGCAATGAGTTCCTTTTATTTCATTTGTATTGCGCCCCACAAACTAGCCAGATTTCTAATTAATGCAACACTCAACTTTCAAAGCAAAAAACCTCTGCAACAAAAAAAACCACACTATGCGATCCTGCAAGATCTTTTCTAGTGTTTTATACTGCTACAAAAGCTAAAAAATAAAAATAAATGTTGTGAAAGCCTATATATTTCTGGTACTTATGCGAAATTATTATGTGTGGTCATCGGATATTATCTGGAGGTCAATCAGAATGCGACACATCACCAATACGTCACTAATATGATGTGTATCGTTATTGTGTACCGTTGTGTATTGGGTGATGTGGCGCATCCTGATTGACCTCTAGAAAGTCCAGTAACCTCACGTAATAATCTCTGGGTACTTAGACTACACATATAATTTTACCAAAATTTTATTTTCTTATTATCGAATTAGATCTATATAGAATTAGTTATATATTATCTTAATTATACATAATTACTATATATTATCTTATTCTTTACAATTTTAAAGTAAAACTTATAGACTTTATATATTTGACTTAAAGAAAATAGAAAATAAAGCATTTATTAAAATTCATTCTATTTCCTTAAATTCAAAGCATTTTCACTCATTTAGCTCATCCTCATATATATTAATTTTATAAGAAAAATCCATGATACCAATATTTTTTTCTGCAGCTCATTCTGATAATTAAGAGATAAGGAAGCAATGGTCCTTTAAGTTATGCCCTTAGAGCCCAAACCAAAAACTTTTTCTTTTTCTTTACTTCTACTATTCAGCTCCACGCCTCAACACCCTAAAATAGGATGACTTTAGGTCAATTCCAACCGAATGTCAAATGACTGAAGGTCAGATTAAACGGTATTTTGCGCCAGGTGAACATTGCGACTCTATTGGTGTCAAACTATTCACGAACATCAATTTTTATTCGTCATTTTGTTTGTTTGGAGTTTCGTTTGAGAAAGGATATATCTGATATATTCTTTTTTGACATTAAGAAATGGAGTACGGTTAGAGATCAGTTATTATCTTTTGGAGTGTGAAATGAGTATTTTGGTTGGAAACGGACTAAGACGATACACCTAAGGGCTCATCTCCTGTGATGTCTAACTCAACATATCTCTTAGATCTATTTACTTATCGTACGAAAGATTAATATTATTAATAGCCGTATAATGTTCAATTATTAGTATTTTTATTATGATATATTTATACTAATACAAACGCATTGTGATCTACTATTGACCACTTTTGTCTTTCATGTTTTTTTAATATTGCTATTTGTTTTAAAAATAAGCAATCAAATAGTCTCTAAATGTAAAAACTATAATCGTTTGAGACAACCTTCACATTATGTTAATTTTTAAATATTAATCATAATTTTATTTAGCAATTGCTTTCTCAAAAATTTTTACAGTTAAAATTACTATTTGCAATAGAGTAGCTAAATTATTTTGCTCATAACAAATTTACAACTAACTTTATAAAATGTTACGGTCGTCCCAAATAAACTCTAAAGTAAGGCTCATCGACCTCAATTAGAGGCACTATCGAGAATGCAAAAGCACTAGTTAGAAGAAAGCTGTCTTTCAAATATTTCGGGGTTGAGTCAAACACTACTACTTCGGATTAAGACTTGAAATGTAAACAATTAAAAGTTACATGATAACACCATAAACTGACCCGTAGTCTTTGATTCTATCTATTGTTGGGCATGAGACATCAATGGGAGCAATTATTAGGTCCTTTCACTGGATGTAGAGGAAGGTTCGGTTTTAGGCAAAAATAGGTCAAAAAGTGCAAATACCGAGTTTTTCAAAAAACTCGGTATTTTTTCAAAAATCTCGGTATTTGCACTTTTTTAGGCAAAACCGAACCTTCCTCTAGGTCCTTGCACCGGACCAAATAAAAATCCCATCAATGGAGGTTGAATAGAAAACAGCAGGCTTCAACATGCTTGATTCGGCTTTTTTTGTCTATATATGACATACCTTAAAGGTTGCATATTAAAGCAAGAAGGGATCAAAAAAAAAAATTTCTTTTGGACATTTTGGCCAATTAAGATAGAATCACACATGCATCGTATACATAAGATTTGAACCCAAAATCACTTTGTTGGTAGCATAAACTCTCAACCAACAGATCGAACTAAGTTGCGTCAAAGGCATCAAAATTATTTAACCCTATAGACTCTTACAATATATTATCTTTCATCGACGACAAAGTCCTTGCATAAAGTCTAGAGACACTTAAGCACTCCACATTATTTATTTATAACTATAACAACAATAAAAATTTTGTCTTTATACATCGAACAACTATAATTTTATCATCAAATGGCTATCAAAAAAGAAAAATTAAGGAGCATTTTACTGATTGACAACACATCTTTTGTTGTCTTCTTACGATATAATATTCCTAGCTAGCTCTTCTAGATGCAACTTTGCCTGTGCTACATGGTAATTATTTATTGTCAGAAATCACGAGAAATTTCTTATCAAAATTTTAATAAAAAATTTCTTGACTTCAATTATTGTTACATGGATATAAAATTAAGAAACTAATACATCTCAATGTAGAATAAAGAGATGATATAAAATAAGTTATTTCTGAGAATTTCTATGCAAGAATGAAAGTTTTTGTCCCTTACTACTTATGTTGGCTATCTAACACATAGTTAATTGCATCCTGCAATCCCTTCCATGAAGACCCTCCTTCCTCCATAGCCATTCTAGCCTTCTCCTTGAGCTCCTTTGCCCTCTCCCTCATCTCATCCCCTTCCTCTCCTCCCCCCATCAGCCTCTCCAAAACCTTCTCGACCTCCCCCCTCGTCACTTTCACCGCAACCTCATTATCATCTCCTACACCAAACAATTTCGGCTTTTCGACGCCAACTGCTACCCCAATTTTGAGAACATCCACCACTAATTGCTCATTTAAAAATTGGTCAAAGAAGTGTGGCCATGTAGCCATTACCACCCCTGTCGCTATTGCCTCCAGTGTTGAATTCCAACCACAATGTGTCACAAAGCCCCCTACCGCTACATGCCCCAACATCAGTATTTGTGGTCCCCAACCCTTTATCACCATTCCTCTTCCCTCCACCCTCTTCTCAAACTCTGTTATCCACTCCTCCACCCCTGGAACTTGCCTCTCAGCAACTTCAGTCACAACCCAAATAAATGGTCGACTCGAAGCTTCCAACCCGTAGCCCAACTCCATGAGCTGGGCTATGGTGTTGCGTACAATGCTTCCAAAGCTAACGAGCACCACTGAACCGGCCTTTTGGTTGTCTAACCACCGGAAGAGGAGCTTATTGTCAATAGACGAAACTTTCCCGCGTGTCGCCTTGGCATCAAGCTCTTCCTTATAAAGTGAGAGTGGCCCAATAGGCCACACTGGCTTGCCTGTCACTTCGTGATATCTCTCAAAGTACCAAGGCTCAAGCTCGACAAAGCTATTGACAAGCACACCATCGGCCGATTCTTCTGCCACCCTGACGGATTCCATGTATTTGGACCAGTTAGGGTCCGAGCGCATGACCGAGGTTAACTCGTGCTTGTTGACCCGAACAGGATGTGGGAGACCTGGAAGCAAGATAGGCCCGCTTGATGTTTCCTCCATCGCAACCTCAAGCTCAACCCTATGTTGTTTGATGAGGAGTCCACATAAGAGGAAAAAACATGATGGGCCATGAAAGATGAAACGGGGGACATCAAGGGTGCGGGCAACATCGGCTGTCCAATGTTGAAGGTTGTCAGAGATAAGACATGTTGGCTTTGGCCATCGAGCTAGGTCAGGGCTATGCAGGTAGGTCTCAAGCGGTTTGCGGAGGAGAGATAGAGCATTCATGAATGTGAGGAACAAATCAGCGGACGGAACGAGTTCGGCGCTCTCACAACCATCGGGAAGACCGACATCCATAGCTGGGAAGTAGAGCTCGACAAAGCGGATCGGAAGGGCAGAGGCGGCTGCCCCATCAATAATGGGTTGAATGCGGGCCAAGTTGATCGGAGTAGTGGCAAAGGTAACAAAGGCGCCACAGGCCGCGAGGAGCCTAGCTAGGTCGACCATGGGGATCATGTGGCCCTGTGCCATGAGAGGCACGAAAAGAAAGTGGAGGGATTTTGTGTTTGAACCATAGACATCGGCTTCGAAGCTCATGGTGGGCGGTGCCTATGTGGCTGAGGGGAAGATGATATGCTCTGGTATCCTGTGGTGGGAAGTTGAAAAGAAGCTGCTGAACTTTATAGCCAATGGAGATTAAGCTTTTTCAAATAATTTAAATGAAGGATTATCTGACTAGAACTCTCAACATAGAGGTTGAGTGCTTGACACTTCTAGGGAGAAACTTCACAATTTAGAGTAAAAAAAACTCGTTCAAATACGCCGGCGGACAAAAGAGACGCCGACGACACTTTTGCTTGGCCACAAAGCTCTCTCAATACAGTGACGGCTGCGTATTCCTACGCACCGTTGTCCAGCCTTTTTGCTGTTTGATTTATCAAGTGAAGAAAATTAAAATTTTACTTCTTATATTTTCTTAAAATGCAAAAAAATAAGAAGCTTCGCCATCATTAAATTTTAAGTGCTTTTATATTATATATTACGTTGAAAATTAGGTTACAAATCAAGATGTTTTTATTCATTATGTAGCACGAAGAAATATTTGTATAACCTGTGGTGTAAGTGCAGCTGGTGGCTGGCTAGGGAATTTTTATCGCCTCAGGTTATCTGATGTAATTTTACGTTCGGCATAGACTAATCAAGCGCCACGTAGCAGACGTGAGGGAGAGGGAGGAGGCAAAGGCCTAACTTAGATTGTTGAGTAAACTCTTTAATGTTTTTGTTTGTCATGTAGTGTGAAGAAATATCTGTGGAATTAATGGTTGAAGCTAGGGTGGCTAGGGAGACGCTCCACCAATTTTTTTTTTATTTTTTTTGTGTGGAGTCCTGATGCATTTGTGTTGGGTAAGATGAGTAGGAGCAAACACCACAATAAAGAAATAAATAAGAAAATAAAAGCAGCGGAAAAGTAAAGAACAATAAGGTTTAATATGGAAAAACTGAAAATAAGAAGAAAAAAAAACCATAGAGTCATACCATGTCAAGAAATTTATACACACTGAAAATTGGAAGAAATAATTATATATCTCTCTTCTCTCTTGCTCCATCCTTGTTTATCTTCTCACATGCACAATTTTCAATGTCTATGCACTCAAAATACAAGAGAAAACCAAGTAAAATAATCTCAAGGGATGCAATCCTTCAGAAAAATGAGAAAACCTTACAATCGGTCTCGCAGTGTTGCGGCGCCATTTTGGGGCGCTATGCCGCTCAAGCCTCTATCTTGCACCACTGCAGCACCATATCTATACATCTGCGGTGCTCTGCTCTCTGTTGTTCAGCATTAGGGCGCTAGGAAACACTGCTCTTGGGGCTTGGGAACACAGCATCAGGGCGTTCAGGTACATAGTGTCGGAATGATGTATGAGAAAAAAAATCTCAAACCCAAGTAGAGGTGTAAACCCCCCGCACCTCAAGCATACACAATAAACTTTGAGATCTTAGACAATATAATAACCAGATTGATCAACACAAACATATTCCACAAATAAAAATTTGGACTCCAATTAAAATTGGTCATGTCGCTTGTACACATGATGTGTATCATACACATCATGTATAAACAAGGTTGTGCATATGCTATGTAGATACTACATTACCTATTTTGATTGAAGATCAAACACAAGCTAGGTCGTGTCGGGACTCCGCACATAATAATTTCTCCCACCACCACTATTTTTTGAATAAGCTCTTTAATTTTATATAGTACATTAAAATATCTATCAATCATCAAACCAACTATCCATTAGTTTCACAAATTAATTCAAATAAACAATGCGTAATAACAATTTTTTGAAAGGGAAAGCAGGATTTCAAAAAATATGTAAAAAATGGCAAAAAGAAGTCTAGAAGATCGTGCAAATTTGGAATTTTGATGGGTATCAAGTACAAGAAATTATTTCATACGGACGCCGAACACCGTCCGGAGGCCAACTAGAATGCATCACATCACCTCTTCGCTCGATACCGCGACTCGATACCGCTAGCATGACTGCACTTAATTCACCTCTGAACATAAAACTAAGTCGACCTCCGTATAGAATAATTTCTCATCAAGTACTGAAAAAGTTTCTCACAAGAGTTTCGCTATAAATATTTATTGTCCTAGAAGCTATAGAAAGACAACATGCTAAAAAGCAGTCATATTTACAAAAAATTATTAGGTGTGGAGTGCACACCACCCGCACAAGTTCTGGGTACCTAGCGGTACCCAGCAGTACCTAGGGGTACCGAGTGCGGGTACCGCTAGGTACCCAATACTTATGCGGACGGCTCTACCCGTCCGAACTCTACACCTAATAATCTCTCCAAATTTACACCGCTCCGTCAACTAAGAGATAAAAGACACTCTGTTTCCTTTAGGTGGGGGTGTGGCTAGCATCCATATGGTACCAACATCTGGATCTAACTCTAATAGCTTATATGTCTATCACAACATCATTTTCTAAAGTTGTAATATCATTCTCAACGATATATATTGTTGTAATTCGGGAGCCATCATATATTTCGATCATTATAAATATTATTGGATTTTATTTGCTTATTCTTGTAATATATATTGATTTTTTTTTTTTTATATATGTAGTGCTAACAATTTTAGGTAAACATATATGATCAAAGACTGAAGAATCGACTCAAAACAGTGTAGCGTCAATATAAAATCAGAATGTATGTTACATAGTCTGTATTTTTTTTTTATTGAGTCTATTTATGTATTAGATGTATGTTGGCTTAACGGCTGTGTACACATATACAAGAGAGATTAAAATTAAATATTTTAATTTTTCTATTAATAATATTATGCGATTAAGATCGTACTGTATGAACTATTCAAACATAAATTAATTAAAAATATCTAATTAAATGAGATTAATTAAAATTGAAGTATAACTAATTGAAATCCTACCATGAGTATCAATGTTGCGAAAATGACATTCTTATAATAAAAGGGAGATTTACATACATACCATCCTATATTATTCTATTTACATATTTAACATCTAAAACTTTAATATTACATACATACCATCAATAGTTCATTTTCATATAAAATATGAGTAGTAGAAATGAAATATATGAGTGATAGGAAGGAAATATGAGTGGTATATTTGATATTAAACTAATATAGAGTGGTATGTATGTAATATTAAAATTTTGGATATTAGATATATAAATAGAAAGATATAAAGTGGTATATATGTATGTAAATTTTCCACAGTTCATAATATAAGAAATTAGAGGAACGAAAGAAATAAGAAATTTCAACAAAGTTGGGCAGACTTAACAGACGCTAATGCATCTGGAAGATGAAGAATGGACTTAGACAGATGGCTTCCTATACATGTTCAGTGTGTGCATTTGAAACATTTTGGATGATTTTATTTATGAATTAATTAAAATAATTAATTTTATATTATAAAATTTTAAAAAAATGAAGCGATTAATTAATTTCTACACCAAATTAAAGTAAATCAACATTTTGGTGTAGAAACAAATTTTGATGATTTACCTGTTGACCCTAGATTAAGAAAAAAAATGTTGATTATAATCCAAATCGATAGAGATACAATGAGAAGAACTTACTAGAGGACTTTATTAGTCTCGGGATCATGAATTCTCGCGTATACAATTTAGAAATAAATTACGTAAGTGTAATCTTGCGTGATGTAATGAGTACAAAGCTTGCGAGGGTGATTTAAGCATTATTCTCAAGCAACCATAAACTAACATTATTAAAAAAAAAATTGAGTTATTTTATTCAATTATAAATATACAATTTAAAGAGCTCAGTAATAAATTTTTATGAGATAAATATTGAGTTGGTTATGTGTGTGACATGTTTGAATTCAAGTAATTCATATTTAACATTTGACAAAAAAGATTGATAAGTATGAAAAAATTTATCCATCATATTTTTCAGATATAGATTTCATTATATTAGAATATACAACTTAAAACTTTTATCATTGATATGAAATCTCGTGATGCATTTAACAATTTAAGAGGCACCGGAGAACTTGCACAAAAAATGATGGAGAGTGCTTAAACAAATGATATTTATCTTTTGACATTCTTCCTTGTAAAGTTTGATTTAATATTGTCAATTGCTACATCAACGATCGAATGAGTATTCTCTGGAAACTCTGCTATGAAGATTGTAAAGAATCAGTTACACAATCATATGGGAGACTTTTGGATAAATAATTGCTTGATTATTTGAATAGTATTGATAATGAAGTAATTGTATAATAGTGTAATAAAATATAAAAACTTGAAGGGAGAATTTATATGTCATGTAAGAAGAATATGAAACGTTGTTGTTTTTTTTTTTTTTTAATGAACAGTATGTGACCTTGAATGTAAGTTTTTATTATTATATAATTTATCTTTTTTGATAATAAGTCTAACAAATGTCAATGTCGTTCTAGCTCAAAACTGGATGAAAAAGGTTAAAGATATTTTTAAGATTCAAACTTTGTACTCCCACCGCAAAATTTTTTGACTTCGCCACTAATTATAACCATTGCAAAATATCAATGCAGCTTCTCTAGCAACAAGGTTGATTACAAACACTTGCGAATGCAAGTACAATCAAATTGTGCATCATGACAACAATCTACAAGTATAAAAATATACCAAAGAAAAAGAAGGAACTAAAAAAATTCCACATTGACACTACAACAAGCAAATGACAATAATGTTTCTTTGGCCAAAGAAAGTACAAAAAAATAGTATATACATGTGTAATAAGTAGTTTATTTATTTTATTCTATTTTTAACTTGTTTTGGATAGATCCATTCTATATTATAAATTTGGTCTACCCAATTATTTTAAATACATCTCCTATTGTAAGAAAAAGGTTATAGAATGAATTGTTTTTGGCTTTCTCCCTCTCTAAACTCCTACACAAAAAGTGAGTTTCCCTTCTTGATGTGGATCAAGAAGCATATCATAGGGTGAGAAGAGGGAAAGAAGAATGGTGAAAAGTTAAGAGGAAATGCATTGAAAGGCCAACATTTTATGTGATCAAATCATCTAAGATGACTCTCTCTAATCTTATCTACTCCAACCTTTTCACGTATATAATCGTTCTGCATTTTGTCTCAAGAGTAAATCCCCTCAGCCACCTGAGCATCCCCATATAAGGTGACTCTATCTTCTCAATTATTTGATTATGTTTTGTCTGGCAAGAGTCATCGATGGAGGCTGAACGGGCTTCAACATGGCTTATTCGACTTTTCTTGTCTATGGTTTCATTTGGGATAATTTTCTTACTGCTTCTTAAAGCAGCTTTTTAGTACAATAACTAAAAAGCTGCTTTAAGAAGCAGTAAGAAAGCCGTCTCAAACAAAGCCTATAACACCTTAAAGATTGGATATTAAAGTAGGAAGCCATCACAACTATTTAGCCCTTTTGACTTTTATGATATATAATCTTCATTGAAAACACAATCCTTGAATAAACTTATTGATATATATATCAAAACATTGAACGTTCTTTTTTTGTTATAACAATCTCAATTTTATTTATATGTTCATCAACAACTATAATTTTATTATGAAACGGCTATCAAAAAGATAAATTAAGTAGCAATTAACTGATTGACAACACATCTTTTGTTCCTTAGCACTTCCAGATGCACTTTGCTTTTGTCCCATGAAAATTATTTCCTTTCATAAATCACAAGAAATCTCTTACAAAAATTTTCTTCGCATCAATTATTTTTACATTGAGATAAAATTAAGAAACTAATAAATCTCAATCTAGAAAAAGGAATGATAAGAAGTTACTTATAAGAATTTCTATGCATGAATGAAAGTTTTTGTTCATTGGTACTTCTGTCGGCTCTCTAACACATAGCTGATTGCATCGTGTAATCCCTTCCATGAAGACCCTCCTTCCTCCATAGCCATTCTGGCCTTCTCCTTTAGCTCCTTTGCCCTCTCCCTCCTCTCATTCCCTTCCTCTCCTCCCCCCATCAGCCTCTCCAAAACCTTCTCAACTTCTCCCCTCTTCACTTTCACCGCCATCTCATTATCATCCCATAAGTCATGTAATTTCGGCTCTTCAATGCCCACTGCCACCCCGATTTTGAGTACATCCACCACCAATTGCTCATTTAAAAATTGATCATATAAGTGTGGCCATGTTGCCATCACCACCCCTGCTGCTATCGCTTCCAATGTTGAATTCCAACCACAATGTGTTACAAAGCCCCCAACCGCTACATGCCCTAGAATCAATGTCTGTGGCGCCCACCCCCTTATCACCATTCCCCTCCCCTTCATCCTCTTCTCAAAATTTTTCATCCACTCCACCACCCCCAAAACTTGCCTCTCCTCTACTTCCTTCACTACCCAAATAAATGGTCGACCCGAAGCTTCGAGCCCGTAACCTAGCTCCATGAGTTGGGCTATGGTGTTACGTACTATGCTTCCAAAACTTACGAGCACCACTGACCCAACCTTTTGTTTGTCTAGCCACTGGAAGAGGAACTTGCTGTCAATAGATGAAACATGCCCACGTGTTGCCTTGGCATTAAGCTCTTCTTTATAAAGAGAGAGCGGCCCAATAGACCACACTGGCTTGCCCGTCACTTGTTGATATCTCTCGAAATACAAGGGCTCAAGCTCAACAAAGCTATTGACAAGCACACCATCAGCGGATTCTTCAGCCACCCGGACGGATTCCATGTATTTGGACCAGCTAGGGTCTGAGCCCATAACTGAGGTTACTTCATGCTTGTTGATCCGAATGGGATGCGTGATTTCTGGAAGCATGAAGGATCCGCTCAATTTTGCTTCCAATGCTACCTCAAGTTCAACCCTATGCCGGTTGATGAGGAGGTCACATAAGAGGAAGAAGCATGATGGACCATGGAAGATGAGACGTGGGATGTTAAGAGTGCGGGCAACATCAGCTGTCCAATGTTGAAGGTTGTCAGAGATAAGGCAAGCTGGCTTTGGCCATTGAGTCAATTCAAGGTCTTGAAAGTGGGCCTCGAGCGGCCTACGGAGGAGGGATAGAGCATTCATAAATGGGACAAACAATTCTGCTGACGGGATGAGATCGGCGTTCTCACAACCATCCGGAAGGCCAACATCTATAGTTGGGAATTGGAGCTCAACAAAACGGATCGGAAGTGCAGAGGCGGCAACCCCATCGATAGTAGTTTGAATGCGGGCTAAATTGACCGGAGTAGTGGCAAAGGTGACAAGGGCGCCACGGGCCGCGAGGAGCTTGGCTAGGTCGACCATGGGGATCATGTGACCCTGTGCCATCATAGGGACAAGAAGAAAGTGGAGGGACTTTGTGTTTGAGCCAAAGTCATCTGCTTCCGAGCTCATGGTGGGCGATGCCTATGAGGCTGATGAGGGGAAGATGAGATATGCTCTGTTATCCAGTGGTGGGAAATTGAAAAGGAGCAGCTGAAATTTATAGCCAAAATAGAATGAGCTTTTTCAAATTATTTAAATGATGGATTAACACTTCTCTTTAGAAACTTCACAATTTAGAGAAAATAAGAACTCTTTCAACAAAGTTGGCGGACTAAAGAGACGCCTTTGACACTTTTGCTTGGCCGCCAAGTTCCCTAAGTACAGAGACGGCTGCGTATTCGTAAACAGTACTGATGTCTAGCCTATTTGCTGCACGTTTGTTTTACCTAGAGAAGAAAATTAAATTTTTATTATTTTTAAATAAGAAAAAAAAAAACTAAACCCTAAACTTTGGTGACACTTAGCTTAGCTAACCAACTTCAGTTTAAAAAAAAATTAAAAAAAAAAAAAAAAGCTAACCAACTTTAGTTTTCTATCACTTGTTTATTAACAGTGCATGAGTTTAAAGTATTTAATATTTTGAAGAAATTAATACAATTTGAGTTTAGGTTTAATTCATACAAAAATAAAAAAAATCAAATTAATAACAAAAATAAAAATATATTAAAATTATAAACAATAATTAAAAAACAAATTTAATTATTTTTATTTTAAATAATATATATTAAGAAGAATGTTAAATAATATTTTCCAAAATTTATAAACTTTATATGTCAAATAAATAATATATATGTTGATTTTTCTATTGCTTGTTTATTAACCATTAACATCCATCATATTTTTTTGGAGCATCATATCTACCATATTATAAGGAGAACAATCAAGTTGACTGCTTGATGTTAATGCGCGCTTATCTTCATGTTCGCCTTATCTTCACTCAGATTAGGAGAACCAACAAGCTAAATGCATGGCATTGTTTGGTCTCTAATGTTCCTCAGATATCGTTGTCATGAAATTAGTTCATCTCCAACGGAACTCAAAATGCATGTATGCAGTTCGCCAAATGCTCCAATCGAAAGCCAAAAGTCACTCTCAATTTCTGACGTGAACAGTGAGACGCTAATATTGGCATCACATTATTCACCAATGCAATTTTTGTTTTTTGAAAAATTCTAAAAATTCAGTTATTAATTCTAGATTATTAAGTCTAGATCTTTATTGTTAATAATTAAGAATTAATAATTTATAAATGCAATATTTTTTAGAGTTTAAAATATTTTTACGTAATTACTTTATTTAAATTAGGTTACTCCTATTTATGTGTTCTAATGTAATAAATATTTATTTTATTAAATGCATATTTATATTCCGAATTAATTTTTCGAGGAAGATTTGTTTTTATTAAAAAATTTATATGTAGTTCTAATTTGAAAAATTGATAAATATAAAAATATGATTAAAAATAAATATAAAAATAATATGAGAAAGAAAATAAGTACACGTAATATTTTTGTTGTTGTTAAGAAATAGAATTTGATTGGAGACGAGTTAGATCATTTTCAACCGAAAAACTCATTTTCCACTCCAAAATGTGATAATTCATCTCCAACCGAACTATATTTCTTAACACAAAAAAAGAATATGCTGTGTATATTCTTTCTCAACCACACGTGCTAGCCATTTTCCCCTCCGCTTTCTCTATTTCCGCTGAAAATGAGATTGTGATTAATGCGACATCAATATTGGCATCGCACTATGCACGAACCAGATAATGGAGCACCTTTTGTCGTTCGATTGAAGAAGTTCTCAAACGCCAAACATGGGTATAGAGTTCAGTTGGAGATGTCTTTACTACTTTTAGGACTATTACTATATGTTGGAGTTAAAAATGAGCTTTTTGGTTGGAGATGGCCTTACAAATAACAGAAGTCTAACGTTTGTTTTCATTATTGCTTGATCTCACCTTCTATAAGTAGGACCGAGTTAGCTTCTAATTGTCTCTCGACCTTTAATGTTCCTTGTTGACAAATGCCAAGGATTAATGTTTGGCTCTTGTTAGCTAGCACTGACTATCAATGCTCACCCTCAACTGATCGCCATTGCCTAATGACAACTTAAACATTTACCAACTCTAGAGCTATCATACATGTTAACTCATTATCCAACTACCAGGAATGACCATTTGTATTCTGCAACTTAGGCTTCGTTTGGAATGGCTTTCTAAGCAAAATTTTTATGCAACTTTTTAGCATAAAAATTTTGCTTTTTAAACTAAAAAATCGTTTTAAGAAGCAATAAAAAAATCGTCCCAAACGAAACCTTAGACTAGTTGAATCATTTCATAGGCTAGCGAATATGATTTTTCTCTTATTCTTTCATGTAAAAATCCTCATATTTCCTGAAATGTGCAAGATTTTTACTTTTTTAAAAGGTATGAATGTATGATGATAAACACTTCCTCTAACTCTATGAATATTCCAGCATAGGATAGTTAAGACGATGTTTGCAAATAGAATTTTGTTGGAATCTTTACATTAGCATTCTTGGAATGATTGAACTAGTTATTTTTCTCTATCATTCATTGATGTACCAAGGCAACCTTACTTCTCTCAAAAAAACTACACAAAATGCTCGAATGGTTATCCCTACTAATAAAAAAAGTTGGCTCCTAATTAGAACAAAAATGTCATCATGAGGGATGTCTGCATTAATGTCTATAAAGTTGTTATAATTGAGAGTGAATCATGATCTAACTTTCAGCTCTTTAGGGCTTTCTACATGTAAGAGAATTTTCACAAGAAAATTTTACAATAATCTAATCTTTACATATAATCCATAAGAGGGCTTAATAATCTCTTAAAAAAAATCAAAGGGTTTCCAATTTAGGTGCCCGAAGTAATACATAGTTGTTGTGTGTCGGAACATTCGTGATGGAAGAGAGATATAGAGTGTTTAACGTCCTAACCTTTTACAAAGATCTAGCACACACACAAATAAGAGAGAGGTGCAAGAGTTATAAGAGATACCAAAATTTTTACTTAGAAAAACCTTAAAAGGGGAAAATCATGAGGTCTGACACAGTTAAAATAGTTTTACTAGTGTTTGTCGTTGATTACAAATGATGTCTCTCATCAGGAGAAAGTGTTGGCACAATATATTAAATATACATTGTGTATAACACATTATATGGTTAGAGTTGAAAGAATCCAATAACAATGGAGTTATTCTAAAGGGAACGTTGGCTTGTTCATTTAGTTGGTGTGAGCATAATAGGGAATATCAGAATAGCCCTCAAGCTTCAAAGTTTTTTTTATCACATAATAGATAACAACATCCCTTCTCTCCGCCAAAGAATCTCTTATCTCCTCCAACTGAATTTCACATTTCAATCAAATAAACACATATTCAAATGCATTACATTAAATAAGATATAATTGAAGTAAATTCAGAACTTGTTAAAGTGCCTTCAAAGTAGGCAACATAAAACCCTACTAAGATGAAATTTGCATTTTCAAAAATTAACCAAATTATCAGATATCATGTATAATAACATTCTGATTTTAACTAAAGTGCTACTTTTAAATGTCAAGAAAAATTTGAATTGATAAAAATAGCTATTTTTTAAAATCACATTATAAAAAATCTCAAATAAATATTTAAAACAACCAGAACAGTCATACTGATAACATATCAAAAGTTATAATGATAAAAGTTACTAGAATCTAATAAAATTGAATTTTTGTAAAAACCAATTTATAAAATATTTCAAAAGATCAAAATTGACCGAAAAAAAAATCCCAAAACACCAAATTAGTGAAAATTGATATAGACAAAACATAACCAATCATGATTTGAGCAACTTTTAAAATGGGGTCGATGCCTGAAAATGACCCAAAGTGACTCAAATTGGAATTTCTCTCTCCTAAAACCCTCTATATGTCTCTCTAATTCTAATTCAGCTACCCAAAGAAACAAAATAGAATGAATAGTAGATTTGAATATTTTTTTATATTAAAATTTGTTCTAGCATTGCAGTGACCTATGGTGCTGGCGACGACACCACCCTATAAAATTCACCTCATCGCCTCCCATAATGGGGGTCGGAGCATTGAATTAAACACAAATTTTCTCAAGACTTCAGTGTCAGTGCGCTAGAAACACAGTGCCGGAGCGCTCTAAAAAAATTTCAATTTTCTCCAATGCATTCAGATCTATGGAACTCACTCCAGAACACATGCACACCCTTTTTATACATGTATCGTTATCTCATTCTCAAACACGTACAAAAGTGTTCAAATTATAAAAGTTCAAATATTTGTATTTTTTTTCATTTCGGGTTAGAATAGGTTCAACTAAATAGAATCTATAGATACCACACCACAATGGTCGGAGGGACCAGGGTCGGGCGACTGAGGTTGAACGGACCATTGTCGGGTGATAGAGGTTGGTGCGATCGTAGTCGGATGACTGAGGTTGAATGGACAATTTTCAGGTGAGAGAGGTCAGAAGAATCAATATCGACGGACGATAGAGGTTGGGTGGAGACCCGGAGCTGACGGTTTGACAAAGGACTGATGGAGGTGGACGAGTAAAAGTCCCACACCGGTGGTCGGGCAGTGCGGATTCATAGACGGAGGGGTCTGGGCTGAGTTATAGGACTCTTCGAGCTTCAAAGCTCTCTTGAGTCTGTAGCCCAGGATCCACGCCTTTAATAGTCCCATTCATATGTAGAGTTGAAGTCTGTTTATAGATTTTTAAAATGTCATGCTCCATAAATATAGAGAAGATCTAGGACAAATTCAAAGTGCTCTATCGGACAGGACCATATTGATTCCCTTCATCATAGAGTGTTCATTTAGCATTTAAGTGTCTTAATAATATTAAAATTAAGCAATCATTGGCTCATTGGATTGGTCTCATTGAGCTGCTCAATTCGATTATAAGCATGTTATATCTGTATATCATTTTAGTTATTTAATCAATGCTCTAATGCTTCTAAAAATGCTTCGGTCCCTTGATTTGGATTTATTTCAGCTCGGATTTGACCGATTTTGGTGTCATTAGGTTCGTCTCACTAAGTCATTCAATTTGACTATAAGTTTGTTGAAATCAAAGTTTGGATAGTCCCAAATTTAATTTTGGAGGTTTTTCAATTGACGCCGGAGCTGAGCCATTAGTTGTGTTAACTTCAGGATAATTCAATCCATTTGGTAGCTTATCTGGCTACATAGATTTAGTGCTTTCATTTGTTTTGTGTAGCATAGTATGTTCCTTCTTTTGGGCTATAAATAGTTAGCCAATATCATGTGATAGAAGATAGATTTTGAGATGAATAAGAATTGAGTAATTTTACTCTTTTTGGGTTTCTGTATCCTGAAAGATTTCAGGTGGTGATCCCTCCCCCAAGAAGGAGTTCTTGGTCGCGTCACTGGATTGTCGACGTGGATTCGTCGAGACCCCTCCGGTCCGGTGTCATCAATTTAAATATGTATCAAGATTTGTGTCTGATCAAGGTGATTTTTGGTAACGTATCAATAGTATTAGACAAGGTTACAATTAAGCGCTCATATAAGAACAAGAGGTAGACATGATTTTCAATTATCTAAAAAAAAAACTTTAAAGGGTACACCAATTGAAGAGTCAAAATATATATAGTATTACAAAAGATCCTTGTCAAGACTCCTTATTAAGCAAGTGGTTAGTAAGATCTCCACTTATTCAAAAAAAAAACTTCAAAGGCCACATCATTTTAAAAGTCAAGAAAGGGATTTAGGATTTGGACGTTATGATGGCCCCCTAATATTGAACTTATTCTTACTATAGCTTTGCTACAATGACTTACTATCATAGAAGTTATAGAAAGACACGTCCAAGTAAGATATAAAAGCCACTCTATTTTATTGTGTGATGATTACTACTATAGAATCGAGTCTACTTGAAATGACTTGAATCAAATATAGTAAGGATCGCATGTTTATTTTGCACTCACTAAATATATGCGAGTTTTTAAAATACTATATGTTTAATTAAGTTTAAAAGAGTTTAAAGTTGGATTATAAAGGTGGGAAATGTTAGGTGTAAAAGGATCCTTGGAAGCGTTGCGGCGCTGCCTTCTTTGTTTATATTAAAATTGGGTGAGGGAGTGTTGCAGAGCTGAAAGAGGAAGTGTTCTGTCGCTTATCTATCTATTTGTTGGAAGGCTTTGGGAGTAGGCATTGTTGCGCCAAGTTATCTGCTGGGGCATCTAGATTAGTCGATGGGAGCACAATGGTGCTGGTATAAGTGGTGTTGTGGAGTTAGGTAAAAATGAGAAATTTATATATAAATATTTAAAACCATTAGCTAATTTATTTTAAACCCCCATCTCAATTGACTGGAGTCTCCAGAAGAAGAAAGGAAAAAAAAAAAAAGAGAAAAGAAGAGAGACAAGAGGAGAAGCTTGATTTTGAAGGCTACAGAGTTGATTTTTTCATCAATCTAGTTGAGAAAACTGTTCAACTCGAGGTAGGCTTTTGATATTTTATTTTATATATCAATTTCAATGTTTGCACAAGTAGATTTGGGATTTTATGTTATTTTTTCAAGTTTGAAACACTTTTTTACCGTAAAGTTTTTGATATGTTGTAGAATAAGATATTATGATTATTTTGTTAAAGAAAATGAAGATTTTTACTGTGTAGTTTTATTTGTGCATTATTTTAAGTATTTTTATGGGTATATGACACTTTTGGGATTGACTACAAATCATTGAATGCTTTAAAATAATGTTATAAATGATCACTATTGAGTATATATGTAAATTTTATTTTTGTCCTCTATTGAATTATCTTACATGTGGTAATTCATGTATTTTTATTTTTATGTTAAATGCTGCACATACATGTTGAGCATATTAATATTTAAATGTGCATGGCATGTAGAGGAGGAATGGAGGTAATGTATGTGGCAAATATATTATGTCCTATGAAATACAAGTGGAATTAGGAGGACCTCTTCACACATGTATATGTATATGTTTTCCTCCATCTATGTCCTCTTTTTTTTTATGATTGAATCTACTTCGACAATTGAATAGATGTGAGATGATTAAGTAGAGGTATAGATGAAAATAGAGTTATAAAGCTAATCAGGCTATTTTGATCAAGTGAAGTTATAAGTGGAACAAAAATTATAATCAGATGTAGAGATATGTGCATTTCATGTTTCATATGTTATATATTAGGTCCATCATGTGAAATGTCCTTGTTATCATTTCTAATGAGTTATAATGAACAAGTTTAAATAAAGTTAACATTATTGTGTTTTTCACGTTTAAAATGTTACAACAACAACAACAACATCAAGTCTTTGTCCCACTATGTGGGGTCGTCTACATGAATCCTTTTTCACTATTGTGTAATGTTAAAAGTTAAATTCTCATTTAAATCTAATAAAGAAATATCATTTCTAATATTTTTTAACCAAGTCTTTAAGATCTACCTCTACCTTTCTTAACATAAGTCAAATTTAATACCTCAACTTTCCTAACCGGGTGATTGGAAGGCCTCCATTTAATGTGACCAAACCATCTAAGACGACTCTCTCTAATCTTATCTTCCACTGGAGCTACTCCAATCCTATCATATATGCTCATTTTGTATCATATTTCTAAAGGTAAAGCCACTCATTCACTTAAGCATCCTCGTATTTGTAACACTTAACTTAGTATTATGCTTGTCTAAAGGCCAACATTTTGCACCATAAAACATTGCAAGTCTCACCATCTTGCATCTTATAGAATTTTTTCTGAAATTTGAGGGGGACTTTTCTATCGCACAACAAGCCCAATGCATTCCTCTTTAACGTTTAAAATGTTGGTTGTACATTTATAAGCATGTGAATGATAAAGTGTCATATCAGTAAAATGCTACTTTGATTTAGCCTCCTCCAAGGTTGCATAATCTCTCTTCCCCTGCCTCCAATATCTCCACAATTCTAAAAAAATATAGTATAAAAAGAATATTTTGAGTTGTTTGGATAAATATAAAGTGCAAGAGAATGATTTTTTCTGTTATGAATGTAATGTAAAGTTAAAATATAGACCGGGGGGGGGTGGTGGTGGTGGAAATCGGCGATGGGCGGCGGCGGCGGCCAGGTGGTGTTTATCGGTGGCCAGCGAATGATAATGATGGCGTCGATCGGAGGTGGGTGGAGGTGGTGGCATGGTGGTGAAGATAGGTGGCAGCAAGATGTTAAAGATAGGTAGCGGCAGTGGTTGACGGCGGTGATGGTTGGAGGCTAGTGGAGGCGAGCAGCGATGGTGGGTGGCGGTGTTGGGCGACAAGCTTACTTGCGGTGCTAATCATTCTCGCTCAAAATTTATCGAGTTTGATTTACCTCAAAAAAAATGAACTAGAATGATTTACATTACATTTATTTTTGTTTTACTTTGAATTTTTTTTTTTCATCCAACCAAACACTAAATTATTAAAACCCTTGCATATGAAATGCTTGGCATCCTAAAGTATTCCAACCAAAAAGCCCAGCAATTTTGCTTGCCCATTCTATATGTTAAATATCATTTTAGGAAAAGGCAAAGCTAGTGCATAATATATTAGAGATTGATAAAATTAAAGTCCAACTGATAGTACGCTTAGCATAAAAACATTCTTTTGATAATTAAGTCAGTTATGTATGCATTTTCATGAATTAAAAATATATTTGATTATTTGCATATGACTCTTTTTAATGAAATATAAACTATATATAATTAAAATACATCATGAGGATCCGATGGCCCTTAGCCAGAAGAGGGACAAGAAGAAAGTGGAAGGACTTTGTATTTGGATTGCAGTCTTCACGAGCTTCAAAGATCTTCTTATCAAACTATCAGATTCTTCAAAGCTCAGGTTTTACTATCGAGTAGTCCACTGTTGAGGATGGAGGAGCCCTCTTCTTCTCTCTTCTCGATTCTTTGATTCTATCTTTTGTCGGGAATGAGTCGTCCATGGAGGCTAAATGGTAAACAATGGACTTCAACATCTTTGATTCGGCTTTTATTAAAGCAGGAAGCCATCAAAATTATTTAACCCTTGAACTTTATAGTATATAATCTTTCATTGACTACACGGTCCTTGCATAAACTGATAGATACAGCTATATCTTCCAGATGCAACTTTGCCTTTGCCACATGGAAATTATTTCGTGTCACAAATCACAAGAAATCTCTTATAAAGATTTTTTTCGCATCAATTCTTTTTACATTGAGATAAAATTAAGAAACTAATATATTCAATGTAGAAAAAGGGATGAAAAGAAGTTACTTATAAGAATTTCTATGAATGAATGAAAGTTATTGTTGCTTGCTACTTCCGTCGGCTCTCTAACACATAGTTGATTGCATCCTGTAATCCCTTCCATGAAGACCCTCCTTCTTCCATAGCCATTCTGGCCTTCTCCTTCAGCTCCTTTGCCCTCTCCCTCCTTTCATCCCCTTCATCTCCTCCCCCCATGAGCCTCTCCAAAACCTTCTCAACCTCTCCCCTCGTCACTTTCACGGCCACCTCATTTTCGTCCCCTATGCCAAACAATTTTGGCTCTTCAACGCCAACTGCCACCCCAATTTTGAGTACATCCACAATCAATTGCTCATTTATAAATTGGTCATAGAAGTGCGGCCATGTTGCCATCACCACCCCCGCTACTATCGCTTCCAGCGTTGAATTCCAGCCACAATGAGTCACAAAGCCCCCAACAGCTACATGCCCTAGGATCAATGTTTGTGGCGCCCACCCCCTTATCACCATTCCCCTCCCCTCCACCCTATTCTCAAACTTTGACATCCACTCCTCCACCCCTAGAACTTGCCTCTCCCCTACTTCCTTCACAACCCAAACAAATGGTTGACCTGAAGCTTCAAGCCCATAGCCTAGCTCCATGAGCTGGGCCGTGGTGTTACGAACTACGCTTCCAAAGCTCACGAACACCACTGACCCAACATTTTGTTTGTCTAGCCATTGGAAGAGGAGCTTGATGTCAATAGATGAAACTTTCCCACGTGCCGCCTTAGCATCAAGATCTTCTTTATAAAGTGAGAGCGGTCCAACAGGCCACACTAGCTTGCCCGTCACTTCATGATATCTCTCAAAGTACAAGGGCTCAAGCTCAACAAAGCTATTGACAAGCACACCATCAACGGATTCTTCTGCCACTCTGACAGAATCCATGTATTTGGACCAGTCAGGGTCTGAGCGCATGGCTGAGGTTACTTCGTGCTTGTTTATCATAATGGGATGCGGGAGACCCGGAAGCATGAAGGACCCGCTCGATGTTGCTTCCATTGCAACCTCAATCTCTAACCTATGTCGATTGATGAGGAGATCACATAAGAGGAAGAAGCATGATGGGCCATGGAAGATGAGACGTGGGATGTCAAAATTACGGGCAACATCAGCTGTCCAATGTTGAAGGTTGTCAGAAATAAGGCAAGTTGGCTTTGGCCATTGATTCAAGTCAAGATTTTGGAGGTGGGCCTCGAGCGGTCTGCGGAGGAGAGATAGAGCATTCATGAATGGGAGGAGCAGATCAGCTGATGGGATGAGATCAGCGTTCTCACAACCATCGGGAAGGCCAACATCCATAGTTGGGAAGTGGAGCTCAACAAAGCGGATCGGAAGGGCAGAGGCGGCGGCCCCATCAACAACAGTTTGAATGCGAGCTAAGTTGACTGGCGTAGTGGCAAAGGTGACATGGGCGCCACGGGCTGCAAGGAGCCTGGCTAGGTCGACCATGGGGATCATGTGGCCCTGTGCCATCAGAGGGACAAGAAGAAAGTGGAGGGACCTTGTTTTTGAGCCACAGTCATCAGCTTCCGAGCTCATGGTGGGCGATGCGTATGAGGCTGATTAGGGGAAGATGAGATATGCTCTGTTATCTTGTGGTGGGAAATTGAAAAGAAGCAGCTGAACTTTTTATAGCCATTAGCCAATGGTGATTAAGCTTTTTCAAATTATTTAAATGAAGGATTGTCTGACTAGAACTCTTAACATAATGGTAGAACGGATTTCTCTGTAGAAACATCTCAATTAAGAGAAGTAAAGACTTTTTCAACGAAGTCGGCGACGCCTTTGGCCTTTTTGCTTTGGCTCCAAGTTCTCTTAATAAAGGGACAAATTTTATGACCATATATATTATAAATTTATATTAATAAAATAATATGAACATTTCTAGCCACTGGGACAAATTTTTTTTGTTTTTTTTAAGTAATTCATTTTATAAAAACTATTCTTTATAATTTTACTTAGAATTTTAATTCTATTTATACTTTTTATAATTATAAATATGTAAGGGACTCTATTTATCTAATTTTATAAAATTAAAAAATATATATTAAATTTATATATTTTTAAAAACTATAATATTTTAATACTTTTATAAATTTTATTCTTAACATGTATTAAGTCACCTAATCAAATTATAAGTAAACTTTTATAAAAATAATTTTATTATATAATTATTAAAAACCCAAAAAAAGTGAAAATAGAAATAAATTTTTAATTGTGCTAGGCCATCCCAGTTATTTCCTTTTAAAATTTTTATGATTTTATTTAGTTTATAGTATCATTTAATTAATATTTAATAGTACTGGTAATTAAAAATTAATATATATTTATAAATATTAAAAAAAAAGAAAAAAAAAACTAAAAAAGAAAAAATAAAATATAAAAATTTTAATCAAACTATATATTTATAAATAATGCTATAAATAAATTTTATAAATATAGAAATTTTTTAATGGAAAAAAGATTTATTTCATTTATTTTATTTTTTATTGTTTCTCCATTTTTTTCTTTTTTAATTATTTATTAGTAAAAAATAGTATTTTTATATATATATAATTTCTAATCTGTACAATATATATATATATATTATATATCATATATAAATATAATTACTCTAAATTTATATTGACATTCATTTATATGATTTTTAAAATTCAAGAATGATTAAATTTTAATATAATTATAATATTAATTTTAAAAATTGTAAAAAGTATAATAGAATTAACAAATTATAAAGTTATATTTATTAAAAATGATTTTTTTTAAAGAAAAAACTCAAAAATGATTAAAGAGAACAAAAAAAAGAAAATAAAAAACAGACAACACATAAAAAAAACAGAAATAAAATATCAAATAAAAATTAAAAAAGAAAAATTTTTTATTTTTTAAAATCAAGTTGCTAATACTTCGACTGTTTTTTTTTTTCTTTTAATTTTTATTAACTTTTTTTTTCATTTTTAAACATAAAGTTTAATTAGAATTTATATATATTTATAAAAACTAAGCTAAAAAAACGAGTAAAAATGAAAAAAATAAAACAAAAAAATGGAAAACGAAAATCTTAAAAGAGCACGTCGTGAGCTAGTCGCTAGCTCCGTTAGCGATTATATGTTTAATTTAAACTAATATTTTCCCCCAAAAAAAATGTTTATTTTAATAATATAAAATTTTAATCTATATTTTTATAAAATTTGTCACAGATAATATATATAGTGACAGCTGCGTGCTCGTCAGCGCTGTTGTCCAGCCTAATAGATTTTTGTTTTATCTACCGAAAGAAAAATTAAAATTTATTTGTTTTTTTCTTACATGGAAAAAAAAAAAAAAGGTTCGCAGATCAACTTGAGTGACTTAACTAACCATTTAAAAAATTTATACACGTATCATCAACCACATAATTATTTATCAGATAAGTTTTATTAAGAAATAATTATCAATTTTTTGTCAACAAATTTATTGAGGATTTAATAAAGGCAATAAAATGGATTAAAATTCTGTTGTTCTTTGAGATTTAGATGATCATATTGCACATGGTAATACTTGCATGTTAATTTTACATGGGTTGACAGTTTCAATCTGTCAAATAAAAATTCCGATCAAATCACACATTGCAATGTACAAGATCCTGTAATTCTCTAAGTGGCTTATCTAAAAGATCTGCAATATAATTAGGAAGTCGTTTCGGTTCGATTCTAGATACGCACGAACACGCATGAAGAAGACCTGCTCACCCTCTCTCTCATTCCTCTTGGCCGAACAGGAAGCACGCACGCGGGAAGGTTGGGCTCAATCGCTCAATCCCATCCAAACCGCCACAAGCAGCTCGTCCCTACTCCCGATCTCCCTATCGCTCCATTTTGGACTCATGAAGCCAGCCAAAACAAAGACAGATCGGTGGGTCATGCTGAGTTGACTCGGGTTCGAAGCGGGTCGGATTTTGGTCTGAGAAAGTTACCTATTTTTAAAAAAATGTTTTGGGTTCTAGTCAGGTTAACTAGTGTCGGATCGGGTTCGGACAATTCCAGGCTAAATCCGAATCCGACCCATGGCCCAATTTTGACAGCCCTAATCAAGGGTGGCTAGCATGCTCATTTCATGGAGTAATTTGCTACATCTTCTCGCCTCGTCTTAAAAAGGACAGACATAGGAGAGCTTCATTATATAATTAATATCTCATAGGCACTAACAATACACAATTCCAGAAAATGAAGAACATAACTTGAAAAATATATGTTATAAAACTATTGATTCTCAGTTAAGCATTGGAACATCTAAATGGATATAATTCCTTTGAAATTAAATACATTTCTCAGCCATCAAATAAGTACTTTTATCTTGAAGACTTCACAGAAAAATAAAAGCAATATTTCAAAATTTAATTAGAGTATTTTACAATTGAAGCTCATTAAAATCAAAATCTTCATAATCTCTTCATATTTTATGATATTTTTCAAATGCTGGCAAAAATAAGAAAATTGGTTGTATGTCCTCTTATTGATCGATTGATTAAATTGATCTTAACTATGTTAATATTTGATTGAGATTTAAGTATTAGTTTAGGTTTTAGTTGAAATTTTTTCATCACCCTCAAGATTCAAAGAAGAGTTTTTTTTTTTTTTTTCCTCCAAGAATTCCAACAAAATTGTATGAGAGCAAGGTGGAGGCGATCAAGGGGAAGGAGGAAGTGATTCTTGTATTCAAGAAAAAGAGCAAGAGCGGAGGCTTAGACAAATCAGGCCGGTGTTTTGTGGGTGTGCCTAGGAATGGGCGCATGCAAGCAAAGGAGGCTGGGTCGCAGGTGATTGAGTCGAGCTCATGGGTGACCATGTCGCAGGCATGGGTGGCGCAATCAGTCGGATCGGTGTCGTGAAGCGCAGTCGAGTGCAGGAGCTGAGACAGGCGGTTGTGGATCGCGTGAGGGCGGGTGTTCGGCCATGGTGCAGGGCGCATAAGCGCATGCTAGAACAAGGTGCACACGGGTGTTGGGCGAGCCCAAGCGGTGCTGTGGGTCTATGGTCGAGCCAAGGAGAGGGCTCCCAGTCATGAACTGTAGCAGAAGCAGATGCATTTACAGTGAACCCAGCCCTTAAGATGAATGTAATTTATGAAAAGTTCAACTCATTTCATGCTTGAAGTTATCAAATAGGTATTTCAACTCTCTTTTAGGGTGAACCCAAGCCTCACGATGAACGCAACCTTATCTTGACCCTTAGGATAAACTTGTCTCCTATAATGAACTCATCCAAATGACTTAATATAACTTTGTATGGCTACTTTTCAGAACTTTCATAAGCTTGTTGAAGTTAGTTAGCGACTTCACATGTACCGACTTCTTATTTTAGAAATCATTAATGTGTGCTTAACATAGTCAAATAAATACAATTAGCAATTTTTTTATGGCAAGCCTTTACTTGACTCTAATAAGGTTGTTTAAATGCATTTATTTAATGTAATCTTCTTATAGAGCTATTCCTCTACCCCACTTATAAATAGAGGGGTTCCAAGACAAATCTGTCTCAAGTTCTACATTTTCTAGCAATAAGAAAAATGTAGCTTCTCATGCCTTTATGTCTATCTTCATCAGTAAGGTCATATACAGCTTGATAATAAATTTGAATTGAACACTTTCATTGAAACAAAAAAAAAAAAGATTTCAAATATAATATGCTCAAAATACTCTCAACCAAACTACTCCTAAGAGATTATTTATTTTTAAGTATTATGTGCGTAAAACATTTTTAATGAATTTAAAATTACGGTATCTCTCCAATACTTAATGATTATCAGACCGGATATTACATATACGATCAATTTGTTATGCCAATCTATGCACAGTCTAAGCTCTCAGCATGAATACATACTCCAAATACTCTTGAGATGCATCAAGGGCACTTTGCAGTTTAGGATTCCTATTTTAGATGGTCCATTAAAATTGAAATCTTTCTCTGATGCCGACTGGGCAGGAGGCAAAGAATCTCATCGATCCACATTTAGTCATTATACATTTCTAGGTAACACTCTCATATCTGGGAGTGTTAAGAAACAACACACGGTTGCACGGTCCTCAACTAAAGCAGAATATAGGGCTCTAGCTACAACAACAACATATATAATATGGCTTAGAGGACTACTTCATGATTTTCACATTTTGCTACAACATCCAATTGATTTACTTTGTGAAAATACATCAGCAATTGCACTTGCAAACAATCTAGTCTTATATGCGAGGACAAAACATATAGAGATTGATCACTATTTCATTCGAGGTCATATATATAATAACAAAAATACATATCACTCTTGTATCTACTAAAGATAATCTTGCCAATATCCTTAAAAAACTTTTTTCAACAGCAATATTCAAGCAGCTCAAGCACGAGCAGGGGCGGAACCCCATTGGAGTCAGGGTTGGCTATCACTCTTGTGTCTACTAAAGATAATCTTGCCAATATCCTTAAAAAACTTTTTTCGACAGCAAGATTCAAGCAGCTCAAGCACGAGCAGGGGCGGAACCCCATTGGAGTCAGGGTTGGTCCCCCTCAAAAATTTTTTTTAAAAAATTTGTTAAAAATTTTGTTTATATGATTTTTAAGGTAATTTATATCTCTTCATTCATTTTTTGATCTTTATTACTAGAGTTTTTAGGCAATTGCAACTCATGATACATGCTTAGTTTAATCCCACTTTGCTAATTGTAATAATAGAAATATATGCTATACATATATAAGGAAGATATATAAGCTACAGTAACATGAATAATATATAGCGGCATATCCACTTTCAATTGTCTGCATTTACCATTTATTCAATATATATAGTTTTTGGACCTTGTAATAAAATGGAAATATTGATAGTAATAATATTATTATGTTTTCTTACTATTTATTTATTTTCTTTAATACAATTAATCAGTTCTAAATATAATTTGATCTGATTGTAAATAAATTAGTATTGATTGTATAAATAAAATAAAAGAAAGAGGAAAAACCATTAATTTTTTTTTTTTACTTTATATCTCGGGATGTAACACATTTCTTATTAGATTGGAAGGCACGACATCCAAAAAGAACTCGCTCATAGTGAAGGTAAACTATCTTTCTCCTTTCTACGTATTTATTTGTTCTTCTTTCACTCACTCATCTCAGAGTCGCCCTATTTCCTGTTTCACACAAATAAACTGACCCTCGTCTCTCCTTCACTCAACCACTCTACGCTTGCTTGATCTCCCACGTCGTTGTTTTCGAGCCAGACTCCAACAGCTGTACTCTAGCATTTCTTTCCTCTCTACACTATTCATCCGCTCGAACTTCCATTTAATCAGACACATGAGCCAACGGCCCTACCGTCGCTTCCAATTCCTAGCCTGACCTCCCAATCCGCTCCAAGCTAGAGTCACATATTCCGACTACATGCTCCTGAACTAGCCACTGTTGCCCCAATTAGTTGTCCAAATCTATTTAACCGCCTACGACATAGATTTCGGCTACCCATCCCTTCAACCTCTCGAGTCCAACCTGCAAGTATCTTTCTTTCCTCCCCTCAAATAATGTACACCAAACCAAATAATTTCTAAGTGTTCAAAATATACTAATTTTATTTTATTATGCATACCCCCAATAAAAAAATAGTTCATCCATATTTACTTTACAGATAATTAAACAATCTAAAAATATTTATTTTGTACTAAATTTACTTTATAGCAACTAAGCATCCCCTTAATAAATTTTGTAGCCCATTTTCGTTTTTTTTTATAAAATAGCGGTTTTTGTGACGCAAAATTGTCCGCCTAGTAGGTTCTTATTAAAGTTACTTTAACCTGCGGATCATCATATCGAAAACCCTAAACCCTCGCAGATGCTTCTAGAGCCCGACCAGAACTCGCTCTAAAAGAATATCTTAAACTTCCGGCAGCCGCTTTATATCATCCCTCCTCCGCACTCAGACGTGCAAACCCTATACTAAACTGACCATTCGCCGCTCTTGTTCGCTCTTTCCACCTCTCTTGTCAACTCTCTGTCTCTGCGAGAATCTATAGGACAGACTTTCGATATGCATCGCTTCGCCTCGAGCATCGCCTCCAAAGCCCGGTAAGTGAGGCTCTATCTCATCAATGCGACATTTTGGTCTGGATTTTTTCTGATCAGTGGTGGTCGGATCGTGTTTTGGTTTTTCTTCATTTTGCAAGGGTTGCTGGCGGCGGCAGCAGCAGCAGCCGACAGGTGAGTTTTTTTCATTTTATGTCATTAGAGTCAGCATTTTAGAATTTTTTGTTGTTATCTTGGTTTTAATATGAGTTGAAAAATGCAGTTTGATTCGAGATGCAAAACAACGCTGCCTGTTTCATTAAGTTGCGGTTTATTTATTTGTTTGTTAATTCGCTTTGTTTTGCTTGTTTTGTTGCAGATTGGAAGCAGGTTTGCCTGGAACAGAAACTATGCCGCCAAAGACATAAGATTCGGGGTTGAAGCCCGCGCTTTAATGCTAAAGGGCGTGGAGGAGCTCGCTGATGCTGTTAAGGTGACTATGGGCCCTAAGGTATGGTTTCTCCCTGCTTTTCTTTAATTAAAAACTAGCTACCTTAGCTGCCATGTCTGTTGGGGTAGTGATAAGCGAGTAGAATGGCACACGTTGAATCATATTTAGCTTTTTCATACCATACGTTGTTTACCTTGCATTCGAGCTTGAGCCAAGCATTCACATATATTTTTGTACTTCTTTAGAATTGTCTATGATTGGGCTTAAATTGTACTTGACTCTCTTAAATTAATAGAATTTGTGGTTAAAGCAACCAATAGATTAGCTCCTAAATGAACCAGATTTACATGAGATCCCATATAATTGTCATGTTAACAAGCAATTTAATAGGTATAATGGAACATGTAATTAAAAAAAATTGGACTTTAGGGAGGATGTATGACCTCTAATAGCCACCTATGTTAGATGTTTTGTTATTTGCAGGTACGGGGCTCAAGGACTATTCACCTTAAGATGTAACTATCGTATGTGATTCCCTTTCAGCAAAATGTGGAGCACATTTTAAAATAATACTGTACCATCACGTTGTACTGAGCAATCTTTGTATTTTGACTTAGGAAATATTGCCTCCATGTTATCCTTATGATTCAAAACAAATGCCTCAATGTTTAAACTTTTGTTTTGTCAGCGCAACCTCAATGCATAGTGCCATTGACAAATGATTTTTCAATTCTCATATATCGATTTGGCAACTAATTTATACAAACATCACTTAAGACCTCTCCTTCAACCAACTTGTAGAGGCCAAAATTGTTTTCTTTTTAAGACCTACATCCTAGACTTGCCAAGTATCACTTAAACTCCACCCCTCCCCACCACAAAATCTTACATTTTCTCTTAAGTGATTCTATTTTCCTTTGCATCTTGTCTTACTTTTATCTTCTTTCTCAATGAAATTGCCAACTTTAGATCATGCTTTTCAATTTCTTAGCACACACCTCTTAGTGAACATCACATTAAGGTGTCTAATAACCGTCTCGAGGCTACACTTTAATGGTTTGAGTGAGGCTTGTGCTTTGCTTTATTAAATAGTATGCCATGAGGTGATTGTGAGAGAGGGTTGCAATTTATCAAGTATTGAGTGATCAAGGAGATTGAATGATAGGAAGCACAACGGGGAGGGGAGGGTTGTGAGCAAGAAGGCTTGCGATTTTGTGTGAGTGGTTGATTGTGATTGATTGACACTCTTTAATTTTTTTTTATTAAGTATTGATCACAAATGAATTATTGCTTGCGCATCAAATGTTTTTATGAAGGTTTAAACATGTGATATCAGGAACTGTGGTGCTTTGCCTAAACAAAGTGAGGCATAAGCCTTGAAATAGAAAAATTAAGAGCTCATAAAATTACTAGAATAAAGTAATATAGCATAAACTAATCTTTGTGGCTATTTCACTTTGGCAACAAAGTATTTTTATTTAACTTCATTTTTACAATAAGATAATTTTCTACAATTAATGTGGTATAACTTTTTTTGATACAAATAAATAAATAACTAAAATTAAAAATTGACTTAAAAAAATAAAAATTAATTCCAAGACTTTTGATTGACTCTCTCATCTCTTGCACTTGACTCAAAGTTGGTCGTCATCTCTTTTGCTCTTACCATGTTTCACATTCACACAAACACCTTGATAGGAAATACTTGTGTTCGCAAGTAACTCTAAGGTAATACTTGAGTTCGCAAGCAATCCCAACCCAAATCGATATGCAAACAGCAGTGAAACGGCTGTTTGTAGCAGGAAAAACAGCAAAAACCTGCTGTCTACAGCAGGAAATCAGCACAAACCAGGGAAAACCGTGAGAAGAATCAATGCAGGACTTTTATTCCACTAGAAGATGCAACAAAATAGAAAAGATACAATTGATCCTCAATTCGAGAGGAGGATCGATCTCTCCCAAATCTCTAGACGCTGCTAGAGCCCAAAGAAACCTAAATCTAAGAGATCTCAAATTTCAGCCAAATTCAAGATGCCTCAAACCCTAGAAAAATCAACTACTTAATGCATACAATTCAAAAGGAATTCCCTAAACAGTCCCTGCAATCAATTTCCCTCCTAAACTCCCTCAAATTTCCTTCCCGAAACCGTCCCGCAAGGCGCGCGTCTCGCGCGGCTTCCGCCCAGGCGGAAGCTTTCTCCGCTGTTTTGGCGATTTCGCCCGTGAACCGGTCCCGCCTGGACCGGCCGGACCGGTCCAGTGGACCGGTCTAACACACCTGCTCTCACCTTGTTTCACATTCACACAAACACAAAATAAATCTCCTCTAGCTATTGATCTCTCATGCTCAAGCACAAGGAAATCGAGTCAAATACGCTGTTTTGGGCTGAAGAGATATACTATTTAGGTATGTAAATTATGCAAGTATGAAATAATACATTATTATAATATATTGTTATAATTTGTTTTATATGTGGTCATTGAGGCACCGCCTCGATAGCCTTGTGGCATGAACTCTTAAGGATCCCTCACCCACCAAAGAATGCAAGGAATTGTTTGTTTAGAGAAAACATGTTGCTCACTAGCGCTTGCACATTGTCCGCATTTAGTATTGCTTTTGTGTACTACGATTTTAATTACCACATTTTGAAGTAGTGGCCCCAAAACGCTCTAAAATGTGACCATCATAGCATTTATAGCATTAATTGTTTGTTTCCTTATGTGAATCTTGTGCTTTATAACATATAATGTGCTTTGAATGATGAAAATCTTACGCCTTAGTTTTCCCTAAAATTTGATAGCCAAATTCAACTTTTTATGCTGTTCAAAAGGAAGGTTTGGGAAATAAAATAATCAAAAAGCAAAACTGAACTTATCAATTCTCATCTTACTTTACATTTATAGCTTCAAGGCAGACAGGCTTTGCGTCAACTTCTCATCCTTTTTTTTATTTCTTCTCTTTCACCTTAGCTTATCTACAACCTTTTTTCCTATCAACCTTACACATGGCCACTTATTTCTTCGATTATTTACCTTCTTTTCTTCCCATGTAATAAAAGTATTTCACCTATTATTTTATTATTCATTTATATTTTAATAGTTAACCACAACAATAATTTTATGATTTTCAGTTTATCTTAACATCATGTGCTATGTATTTGCTACTTAAATCATTTTAAGTTTGTTCCATAGTACTTGCGGAATGCGATAATATTATATAAAGGTAAAGAGATATTAAAGTACTACTTTTTTTTTGTTAATGTGATCATGCTTTGATACCTTGAATTAATGTGACTAATTGAAAATTGTTAAAACTTGTATTTTGTTAGGCATGACAAATCCTTTTGTTCATTTGTTTTCCATGTGAATGAATTTAATTTATTTTAATCGGTTGCAATAAAATCCGTATTAGTTTCATTTGTGTCAGTTGAAGTATATCTCTCAGCAATTTACTTTATTAGTTTGATTTAAGCTTTTTTAACATCGTTAATTGATGCTGCTCATGTTGCCCAATGTCCAGCCGATATTCAAGTCCAGCTTGTCAGGCACATAACATACTGATATGCCTTTGATACTTGAGATTTATCTAATGCTAATACTTGATGAGTATCTAAAGGTGAGTTATTTTGTTATTAAGGGGCGCAATGTTGTTATTGAGCAAAGCTTTGGTGCACCGAAGGTTACGAAGGATGGTGTAACAGTTGCCAAGAGCATTGAGTTTAAGGACAGAGTGAAGAACATTGGTGCTAGCCTCGTGAAACAAGTGGCCAATGCAACTAATGATGTTGCTGGTGACGGTGAGTTATATAGTTGCATAACTGTTTTCTGCTTTTTGAGTCTAGCGTTTTTTTTTTTTGCAGTTTTCATCTCATATTATGGTGCAGATTGTTTGTGCTTCTGCTTTAATTGGTTTTCAAATATATCTCCATAGACTAGCATACAAACCTATCATCAATTCTTAAAGACGCGCATAAAATGTTTCTAATAAATTTTACAGGAGAACATAGACCATTAATGTAATGCCTGAAATTTATTAATAAAATTATTATGAGCCAATGGACGAACAAAGTTAAGCTTGTCATGTCATAGGGCTTAAAAAATCAGTCCGAACAGTCTTTGAAATTAAAAAAAAAAAAATGGATTGCTGACTTGCTGTCTGCTAATACGCAAGGGAAACAAGTTAATGGTGCATATTTAAATTTTTTGGTATATGTAAATTTTTGGATAAAGAAATGCAAAATGATAATAGCAATTATAATAGTTTTGGGATTATTTTTCATTTTATTTGGGTGCAAGAAGATTTATGAGTTTTTGGTGGGCCCCAAATTGATTCGTAATGGAGTTTACAATTTATTTTAATATGAATTTCTATTTTTTTAGTCAGCAATTGGATTAAGTGGCTAATCAAAATGAGTTTCTAATTGAACAAAATTAAGCAGTTTGTTTTTTTTAACTCGTTAATACTTTTTTTTTTTTGCATATCTCACAAATTGGGTATTTTTGTTATATGTTAAGTTCATTAAACAACTTATGGCTAAACTTGTGATTTTTCTTTATTGTGTATAAATAGAATTATATTTTATAAATGGATTTATGATGCACTGTTTGCTTTAATCTTGAATTGCAGAAGAAATTCGTATTGCTTTTTTGTAGTTTAGATCATTACTTTAGATAATATGCAATCAATTATGAATTTTCAATTCACATGGCATTTGCAAATTTATGTTTCACTTACATTTTGTGTAATAGAGGAATTAAGTTAATGTGTCATACTTTAAAACTATGGGAGCTAATTATGGAGTGTAGGTTGTGGCGTGATACTAATGTTTCTCAAAATAAATTTGGATTCATGACGGGTAGGTTTACTATGGAAGCCATACATTTATTGAGTGGTTTGATGGAGAAATATAGAAAGAATAATGAGGATCTACATATGATATTTATTGATTTAGAGAAAGCATATGATAAAGTTCCAAGGGAAGTGCTAGGGAGAGTTCTTGAAAAGAAAGGAGTTAAAAACGCTTATATTCAAATCATTAAAGATATGTATGCAGGAGCTAGTACTTGTGTCCACATGAAAAAGTTCTTTTACTTTTTCTCTCTCTCACTTATCTGTCGAAGTGTTAGACATACGTATTCTCTCACTCTACTGCCGCGTATATTCTAGCCCACAACAATGCTATAATTTAAAATAATTATAAACCATCTGTCATTGAGCATGCCTCTTATTTCTTAAATGTCCTTGTATATGTCAATTGTCCAAATTTCTTGCCTTATCTCTTTTATCCCCACAACTTCGATTCATGCATGACAACACTACCATAGTATAAATAGGTTTTGAGCTTTTACCCATCCATCTGTGAGCACACTCTCAGAATATATTTAGAAAGGAGAAGAGTTGTTATAGAGAGAGGGAGAGAAAAGCCTAAACATAAAAATCCATATATGGAAATCCTCTTTTGAAGGGTTCACATGAGTTTTAGTTTTTAGTAATAAATTTGTTAACTTTTTTTAAAATGTTTTAGTATAGAATTTCATAATTGTGCAGTTATGACGCCCATATGATATTTACTAGTTTAATGAAAATTTTGCTAGATTTAAATAGTTAATTTCATGTCTTTTATGCATACATCTTAAATAAAAGTTTAATGTTAATTGAATGATACCCATTTTTTATAAAGATTTTTATCGCCAACTGCACTCTGTTTAAAAGTCTAGGAGTGATAGGCTGTAATAAAAATACTTAATTGACAAGAAGTAGCTTTTGAAAGGCTTTTGAATGCTTCTTTATGTGTAATGGCTTGAATCTTATCAGGGAACTCTAAAGTTGAGCATGCTCATATTGATTTACTTTTGTAATGGATGATCATTTGGGAGGGAGTTTCAAGAAATGAAAATCCGTGATGTTCATCTAAATATGAGCTAGGCTGGGTCGAAGCAAATAATATCTCCTAATGTATATGATTGGTGTTACAATTAACATGTCATTTGTCTCTCAATTTCAGATTAGTTACCACTTCGAAGTGTTGGCATAAGATTTCTCAAGCATTTGGGATGTTTGTGTCACACACAGGATATCTATGCATTAATCTTATTCATAAACTATTATCGTTACTTATTAAGCTTTATAAATCTCAATTTGACAATATGAGACCTTACTAGTTTTTAGCTTTTTTTTTTTAACTATACACAGGTACCACATGTGCAACAGTCCTTACTAGAGCAATTTTTGCTGAAGGATGTAAGTCAGTGGCAGCTGGGATGAATGCAATGGATCTAAGGCGAGGTATTAGCATGGCTGTTGATTCTGTTGTTACCAACCTTAAGAGTAGGGCAAGAATGATCAGCACCTCAGAGGAGATTGCTCAGGTTTTTCCTCCCATATTAGCTGTCTCTCTCTCTCTCTTCTCTATAGATCCATATATATATATATATATATATATATATATATAGACACACACACACACAGATGCCATCTGATCATTCTTTTATGTTTCTTCTTTTTGTGGTCATTGTTTTCTGCTCCTTCCATTGTTGAGGTGAGGTAGATACTATGGTTTTCATGCTATAATTTTTCATTTAAAGGTTGGTACAATTTCTGCAAATGGAGAGCGAGAGATTGGAGAACTAATTGCAAAGGCAATGGAGAGAGTTGGCAAAGAAGGCGTCATCACAATTGCTGTAAGTTGCTTTTGAAGGCTTACTAGATTTCATATTACTTGTACCTTGGAGACTGCTGATATATAAGCCCTTAGAAATTTGTATTCATGAATATGTTTTGATTTATTTGATGTAAGAAAATTATGTGGTGGAAAGGGATTTTCATATTTGTTTGAGTGGTGCCTGATTGAGCTTGAATATAAGAAGGCAGATGCCTTTTTCATGTCTACCATTAATTTAGACTTTATTTTAGATTTAACCTAGTTGAAATTGTTTCTGACAAATTTGTGCATGCGTGGGATTATTATTCCTCTTATATCCTTAAAAGATAGGCTAATTGAATTCATATTGTGCTTACAAGTTATTACCTTTGCTTGAATCTATATGAGATGGTGATATTTTCTTTAGATCTATTATTTACTTGTTGAATTAGTGCATTCAATGATTACCAGTGTCAACTTTTTTGGCCGTGGCTTTCTTCATTTATTGATCAATGTACTAGAATGTACTAGACTAAGATTTGTTTGGGACAGTTTTTTTACTGCTTTATAAAGTAGTTTTTAGTAAAAAAAAATTCTTAAAAGGAGCAAAAAAATAGTGGCTAAAAATTATTCCAAACAAAGCCTAATGCACATTGATATAGATACCAGAGAATGACAGACAGGTCTTGCAGGAGACATATTCAGCATTATAATAGTCAAATCAATATTTAATTTTGTAAACACCTGAGTGAAATGATATGCTAACTTTTGGCGTTAACAAGAAATGATGTAAACTATTATGAATGAAAATTGCTTTTTTTTTTTGGAAGAAATTCCCTTTTTCCAATGTTCAAATGGTATATGTATTAAATAATTCTCATATGGCTTTTTATTTAAAGGCCCGTGCTTTTTTTACTTCTAATTAGATTTCTTTTATATTTTAAGGCTTACTAAGTTGCTGAAGTTTTCTTCTAGAAGGATAGAAAAGGTTTTCATAATTGGTATGTACTAGTTTACTGGTACACCTAATCATGAATCTATCTTCAATTTCCCTTTGAAACAAATCTATTATTTGATTGTAAAGTTATCTCCGCTCTAATGGTTGAAACATTAAATTGCACTATCATATAATGCTTAGTAGATGAAAAGCCTTGAAGATGTCATTTTGCTTGATTTTTTGATAAATTTATGGTATTACATACTTGAAAGGTGAAAAATATTTTGTTGCTTAAGTTTCATTTTAGAAGGATAGAAAAGGATTTCATAGTTGGTATGTACTAGGTTACTAATATACAAAATAAACAACATCAAGCCTTTATACCAGTAGATAGGATCAGCTACATGAGTCCTTTTTCTCCATTGTGTCCTGTTAAGTGTCATTTTTAATATTTTCTAACAAAGTTTTTTAGGTCTATCTCTACCTTTTTTAACATAAGCCAAATCTAATACATTTATGCTCCTAACTGAGCCATCGGAAGGCCTCCGTTTTATGTGACCAAATCATTTAAAACCAATGTTTAAAATTGCGTATTCGAGGATTGAGGCGTTTTTCATTCGTGAGGCGAGGCGTAAGCCTCAAGGCGTTTTGAGGCGTAAGCCTCAAAATCAAAAGATTGCGTAAATATAAAATGATAAATTTGTTATATGCTAATGAGTGAATAATATAAAACATAAAAAAGCATAAGATATGAAGTGAAATCAAAATATCTCAATAATAAGACAATATGAAATATAGATAAACTCAAAATTATATCTTTCTGAAATCCCAGTATTATTTTCATTAACACATAATTATGAATTCCAAAAATAAATAGCAATGATATATCACATAAGAACTCATAAGTCATCAACACTGTCATCACTAAGGGGTTTTTCATTTAAATCATTATTATGGTGAACTGCTCTCTCCCCTTCCTCCTCTCCTATAGAGTCCAATGTCGGGCATTTACTTCAAGATTTATGTAAGTTTTAATATATATAGCGTGAGGCGTAAGCCTCATGCCAGTGAGGCGAGGCGGGCCTCAACCAAGTTGAGGTGCAAGCCTCATAAAAAAAACTCGAGGCGTAAGCATCGAGGCATTTTTTACTGGAATTGCGCAAAGGCGGGCTTCAAGGTGAGCCTCATATTGTGCAATTTTAAACCATGTTTAAAACGACTCTCTCTAATCTTATCTTCCACTAGAGCTACTCCAACCTTTTCACGAATATGCTCATTTCGGATCCTGTCTTTAAGAGTAAAGCCACTCATCCATCTAAGCATCTTCATCTCTGTAACACTTAACTTAATATTATGCTTCTCTTTTAATGGACAACACTCTGCACTGTAAAGCATTGTCGTTCTCACCACCATCTTATAGAATTTTCCCTTAAGTTTGAGGTGACTTTTCTATCACACAAGCCCGATGCATTCCTCCACTTCAACCTTCCAACTTGAATTCTACTAATAATATCACCATCTATTTCACCATCACTCTAAACGATAGACCCAAAATATCTAAAATATGTACTCTTATTAATGGTTTGATCACCCAAAGTCACAATCCCCCTGCTAGATTTATTACTATTAAAATTACACTCCATATATTTAGTTTTAGATCTACTCAAATGAAAATCTTTAGACTCTAAGATTGATCTTCATAATTAAAGTTTACCTTCAACTCCCTCTCTAGTCTTATCAACAAAAAGAATATCATTAACAAAAAGCATACACTAGGGAACTAATATACCTTTGAAAAAAAATCTATTTTTTGATTGGAAAGTGATATCCGCTTACACATTCAATTGCACTATAATATGATGTTAAGTAGAGGAGAAACTTTGAATATGTCATTTTACATGATTTTTTGATAAATTTTATGCTATTGTGTACTTGAAAGGTGAAAAATATTTCTAACACATTTGGTCTCATAACTTGTTGAGGCTTTTAATTATGCTAGAACTTCCTTATACATATCTTAACGTATTCAACATTGAAATTGCTTTTAAATCTTACTTGTATGCTTGTATGTTTGATAGGAATGATTCTGTTCACTGGCCTGAAAACAAGTTTACTTAAAATTCTTTTTGAACTCGCAATCCATTGTACAGATTTTCACGAGTACTGGAGTTTATTAATACATTTGGTTAATGGCATGTTTTATGTTATGGTTATGCATTAATTTTTTGTTGCAAATGGACCATGAAATATTTTAAAGTTCAAAAATATATTTGAATATTTTGTTATATTGAAAGTTGAATTATTAGAGGATGGGACAAGAAATGATTATAATCAGTATTGTGTCCATGTTTTTTTCTATACAAACGGAATTGAAACATTGATGCTGATGCATTCTAGCTTACATGGAAACTAGCATGTGTGTATGAGGGGTGGATGTATGTGTTATTACTGAGGTTACTTGGGTTTCTTACTGGAGTTAAGTAGCCATGCTACTAACCTGAATTTTCTTTTCACATGTAAATGCTGCTCTTTAATTAAGTATTGGATTATATAGCCTTGAAGAGTTGTTGGTGCATGCTAATAATTTTGGTTAAATCTGATTTCGCTTGAGCATGGAAATTATAATGATTCTAGTGGAAAATTTGACCTGTACTTGTGCAATATGTCGGATAAACCTTACTGCACATTTAATTAATGTGTGAACATAATAGTTATGCATTAAATTTTACTGTTTTAAAGGTTAGCCTGGATTGGAAGTTAAGTACGATATGCTTTGCATAATTAACCGTTCTATTAGGAACTACAGCTTCTTATTCTTTTCATAATGTTTTCTACTCATCTCGGTATAAATAAGCCATATAATCTTAGATTCTTTTTTGATCAGTCATGCACCGAACTGGAACTTGCGCTTTACTTTCTCTTCACGCTGACAACTTGATTTTTATGGCGCAAGTAACGTCAGATTTGGTTTGTAAATTAGTAGATTAACTGTATTTTGAAATACTCTCTCAGGATGGCAAAACTCTTTACAACGAACTGGAGGTGGTTGAAGGAATGAAACTTGACAGGGGTTACATATCACCGTATTTCATCACTAATCAGAAAAACCAAAAATGTGTAAGTACTACTCTATGACATTGTCAATTTGAAAGTGATTCTACAATTGATTTTGTATCTTCATTTCTAGGAATTGGAAGATCCTCTTATTTTAATCCACGAGAAGAAAATTTCAAGCATTAATTCTGTGGTGAAAGTTTTGGAGTTAGCATTGAAGGTATTTTATTTTATTTTTCAGCTTCATTTCCATTTTTCTTTTTCAAACTATATGAATAAATACGAGTCCTTAATAAATTCATTTGATTCTCTGTTATCTTTTTAATGCAGAGGCAGAGGCCTTTGCTCATTGTTGCTGAAGATATAGAAAGTGATGCGTTGGCAACATTGATCCTTAACAAGCTTCGAGCTGGAATCAAAGTTAGTTTTTCCCCTAGTCTTATTAAACTTCTAGTGTTTTTGAGTGTTTTAGGAAATTTTCAATGGATAATTTAGCCAAATTCTTAGGCGGCTCTCTTGTTCATTTAGGTTTGCGCCATCAAGGCTCCTGGGTTTGGAGAGAACAGGAAAGCTGGTTTGCAGGACCTTGCTGTTCTCACTGGTGGTCAGGTGCGATAATTCACTGGATATGTTGATATATTTTATCTCACTCATTACCGGTTACGCAAATCATTATTTTTGCTTCTTGGCTTGTAGCTCATCACCGAGGAACTTGGCATGAACCTTGAGAAAGTTGAACTTGAAATGCTTGGGTCATGTAAAAGGGTGAGTACGACTTTCATTATACTTTTATTTTATTTCAATTTTTCATTTGACTTCCACTCTGCGTACAGTAGTAACATAGTTGGGGTGTATGGCAACTGATCTTTAGTTTTCTGTTATGTTCTTACAGCTCATTTTGCCTTTGGATAAATCCTTTATTTTGGAAATCTTACCAGAAATATTAGTGCATTCCAAAAGCTTTTAACGAATTTGTCTTCCTTTTCATCATGCTCTCTTGCTATCCTCATTGTATATTATTTTCTCATTATTTGCAACTATAAATGATCTTTTGATATTTCAAGTTTCTTAGGGACTGTTTGGGGTCATTTCTATTTTTTGTTTTTATTTTATTTATCCATGTTTTTATATAAAATAAAATATATTTAGTATCTTCAAATGTGTTGTTCTTGTTTTTATGGAATATTAAATAAATTGATTTATAGGATAGTTGTAACAATTATCGATAAGACAAAGGCAGCAGTGGTGGTTGGTTGTGATGTCTGTTTACTTTTTGCAGAATTATTTAAAAAGCATCAAAATTATTTTGAGTGTTTTTAAATTAATTGGATTTGTTTTTAAGTATAATGAACAAAAATAGTTAAAAAGTACGCTAAATATGCATGCTTTTTAGAAACCAAAATAAAAACAGAAGTGATCCCACACAGATCTCTTCCCTTTATTCTTTCTGATGTGGTTCGCCTTTTTTAATCTTTTTTTAAAAAATTTGCTCATCACAACAAAAACGTAAATCTTTCTTGATTTTACTGCATCTGGTAATGTTTTCTTCATATAATCTTTGGGTTAAGTAATTTATGTTCGAGTCTGATACATGCAATAGAAAAATGCTGCACCGTGTTTGCACTTATTTCATGTAATCATGATAAGAGTAAACCCAATATTGTAGCTTGCTATCTGTGAGATCGACTATTTCGTAACACAAAGTAGCTATAAATATTCCTAATTGAAAATTTATCATCCTCTCCCTCTCTCTCTCTCTCACAAGCACGCACCCAATATTGTAGTAAGCAATGGATGTGCTACATATGAACCATATATTGATGATTGCAGAAGGACTAATGCATGCATGTACACAGTTTATATGTATTTGTCATTGGCCTATAGATGTATTTATCATTGACCTATATATGGTTAAATATCTCTGCTATTTTTAGGATAATTTATCAACACTTTTAAAAAGTGTATTAATATAATTGTACTAGAAGCATAACTGGATGACTGATAATTTCAGGTGACAGTTTCCAAAGATGATACTGTTATACTTGATGGTTCTGGTGACAAAAATGCTATTGAAGAGAGATGCGATCAGGTTTTTGCAATATTCCACTTGTTTCTTCATGTTTTTTTTTTTTTTTTAATAAGAAGGTGGACATTAACATGTTACTAATGTTCCTTTATTCTGCAGATAAGATCTACTATTGAGTCGAGTACATCTGACTATGATAAGGAGAAGTTGCAAGAGAGGTTGGCTAAGCTCTCTGGTGGTGTTGCTGTTCTAAAGGTTAGATTTCTTTCAAAATTGGTACAAGATGAGGAAATGCAAAAGCTGTATGTCTATTAATAGCTACCGTTGCCCTTCATCCATATTATCATCCTTGTATCTTCCTGTGATCACAGTTCCATAGCCAGTTAAGTCCTGATCTATATGATGGATATCGAAAGTTTATGATCTATTTGACTCATTGCTCAGTTGTTTCATGGTTGGTCCTGCAACTGTGGAGGCGAATTTTTAGCTTTCCCAGAGGATTGAACCTTGTCATATTTTTGGTCCTGCAAAATACCTGAGTTTTTGGTGTGTTATTTTCATGGTCATGTTAATATGCTAATATGATGGTTGAAGATCTGTGATTATAAAATGGGTTTACTTGGTTTACATATGTTTTGTGAGCACGCTCAAAATTGTATGATTGCTACCCGACTCTATGATGGCACGGATCACAATTCCATATATTTCCTTTTGTTTTTTTTGTTAAATTTAGGAATTTGGATTGTTTAGGTGCCATCTAGATGGTTTTACTGTTTTAGATTATAATATTGTTCAGTTGAAAATGTTCATTTTTATCAATTCAAGGCATTCATTATTTGTGCTTGCAAATCTCCAGATAGGAGGGGCAAGTGAAGCTGAAGTTAGCGAGAAAAAAGATAGAGTAAATGATGCTCTGAATGCTACCAAAGCTGCTGTTGAGGAGGGAATCGTACCAGGTTCTAGTTGTGAAATTTGACATGATCTTATCTTCTCTTGACCACTAAGTATGTGTTCTAATACTTATTGTGCAGGTGGAGGTGTTGCCCTCCTCTATGCGTCCAAGGAGCTGGACAAGTTGCATACTGCCAACTTCGATCAGAAGATAGGAGTGCAAATTATTCAAAATGCTTTGAGGGTAAGGAGAATTTTAGTATTTCTGAAAAGTGAGATTGATCTAGTTTTTCCAATTTATTACTGTTTAGGTCATCTAACTTTTTTTTTGGGTCATATTGCAGACCCCAGTGTACACTATTGCATCAAATGCAGGTGTAGAGGGAGCCGTGGTTGTGGGAAAGCTCTTGGAGCAGGATAGTCCCGACTTAGGATATGATGCAGCCAAAGGTTGTCACTCTTGAAATTTCTATTGAACCTGTAGAAATTTGTTCGCTAATGCTTTTTTTTAAACACAATTCTCATTTGATGCTGTTCTATCCAGGTGAATATGTTGACCTGGTGAAGGCTGGTATTATTGATCCCCTGAAAGTAATTAGAACTGCATTAGTGGATGCTGCAAGGTAAGTGATGATCCTTTTTATCTATCCCACCCATGCCAATTGATGTTCAATTGTTCAGTGAAGGAGTAATGGGAAATTTCCAAAATGTTGCATTCTTGGGCATTACTTCTGTTACTTCTAACAATTTCATTTTATTTTTAATTATTATATAATGTTAATTTCTTGAGACAATTCTGATTTTCATTTAATACATGCCTGAAATATTTTCTCAACCAATATATAACATGATATAACTTTTTTTTTTAAGTTCTGCTTTGCATAAATTTGGAAGAAATTTATCTTTAACATGCATTCAACTAATATGGATTATAGTACATTCTTGTTTCTTTTATTTATTTTTAAGAAATTTATCTAGTGAAGGAGTAAACGCTTAATTGACCGCAAATAGTTTATTAATTCAATTAGTCATTATAATAATTCAATTGCACACATGGATCTTTATTTATAAAAATAGGGTTATGAGGATATGTCCAAGCATTTAAAATTTGTCATATTTACTTCTATCAAATGTTTAAATTTAAATTTTTTTTATCCATTAGAAGAGAAAAATGTAATAAATAAATGATTAATTTTTAAAAATTATGAAAAAAATGGTTTTAATTAAAATTGGATCAAATTGGCTTGAAAATGAATTTGATTTAAATATATTATGGCCTAATTTAGTTTTTTGTAACTAGATAATAGTAATTTGTGTTTTTGTGGATTGATTTGGAATGTTTAGAAGAGGCCATTTTGCTCAAACTCTGTTGGAGCGAGAAAATTTTGGCTTTCTCGTATGCCACACTAAGCTCTGTGAATCATCTCTTTTCCCCTGGGGCATTTTGATCTCTTTATACTTATGAGTTCTTTATCAATTTTACTAAGCTTTACCTCTTTGTGTTTTCATCTCTTTTTGGTCTATGGGCCTGTTTGGTTTGCATGTATTTAGGGTTTAAAGTAATCCAAATATAGGGGTATTAAAAAATTTTGGTGTTTGGTTTGAACTTAAGTAAAATGTGAGTGTAAAGGAGTATATTCCAAATACCTTAGATAGTGCATTTTGAGTGTATTTGAAATTCCTCCAATTTGAATGATTTTCAAATGCACCCACGATTTTATTGCCAGCCTTAATACGATCATTTGAGTTGATGCCATATCAGCTCAAAATTGAATCATTCATAGTTCTAGGTAGGGTGGCGTGGGTGTGGGAACAGAGCTTGCTTTGTTCGAAGATTTTTAAAAGATTGTTGCAATCTTCTTACTTCAATCTTTAATTTTTTTCTCTCTAATCAAGTTTTTCGAGCTTTCTTTAAATTGACAAAGATTTGCATCACTTGGCTTTTCACTTGATATTATAAACTTGTTCTTGACATTTTTCAAGTATCATTCCATTTGACATGATATTCTTAACATCCAAGTAAATAAATAGAACTAGAATGATTTCATCTATGAAAGCCACGATTGTAATAAAATTTCCTTTTGTAGAAGGGAAAATATTAATATTTAAACATTCCTTGATAAGATTGTATGCCTTTAATGTTGAAAATAAACTAATAAAATATATTATGAGATAAATCCAAAATTTAAGTTGTAAGGGAGTCTCCAGCCAAACTCCAAACGACTGTAAGGTGTAGCTGGTTTGTTCCATTCGAACATCAAAAAAATTGTTAATCGGTGGAGGGTGAACAGTGCTACGTAGGGGTGTAAACGAGTCGAGTCAAGTTGAGTATTTGCCTTATCAAGCCTAGCTCGTTTAATCCTTATTGAGCTCGAGCCTTATATTGAGCTCGATTAGTGGGCTCAAGATCGACTAGTTTAGAAAATATCAAGCTCGAGCTCGACTCGAAAACTCGAGCTCGTTTGAAAAGCTTGAGCTCGAGATCGAGATCGAGTTCGTTTGAAAAGCTTGAGCTCGAGATCGAGATCGAGCTCGTTTGAGAATCACCAACGCATGTGATGCGTATTATTATATATTTTATCGAGTAGCTTGATAAGCTTTCGAGTCGAGTCGGGTTGATCATTTGAGCTCGATTGTAGGCTCGAGCTCGAAGCTCGATAAGCTGGGCTCGCGAGCTTGTTAACGAGACGAGTTCAAGCCGGCTCACGAGCCAGCTCACGAGCCGGCTCGGTTCACTTACACCCTTAGTGCTACGCTAATATTGTTGTTGCACTATTCACCTACGCGATTTTTTTTTGTCTCAATCGGATTTGTTGAAGAAATGCACGAAAAAGGAGAAAGATGGTTACCTTCGCAGAAGTGTGCAAAATGGAGTTCGATTGGAGATGGGTCACGACATTTTTGAGTTTCACTGCATTTTGGAGTGAAAAATAGGATTTTCAGTTGGAGATGCCCTAACTTGAAATATTCTACTACCCTAGAAAGGATTATTCACCCATCCTTATGTGAAAGTCACATTTATTATACCCTTGGCCACTTTTTTCAACATTTGCATAATCTACATATTTCTTATCATACAATTCAATATGCTTTATAACCTCATTATGTGTATTATGTACCGTGCAAATGTTGTAAGAGACTCAAAACATAAATCCAATGGTAAATGAACAAGATATATAGAATATTTAGGGTTTAGGCCTAGAATAATTTCAAATGATCTCTCATCTTTTGTCATGCCTATTTAGGCTTTATAGTCTTCTCTCCAATTCCATCTATACCTTATATAACCTCACTTTCACGTTGCAGTGTTTCTTCTCTAATGACCACAACAGAGGCTGTGGTTGTGGAGCTGCCAAAAGATGAGAAAGAAGCTGCTTCCTCTATGGGTGGTGGTGGCATGGGTGGACTTGACTACTAATATTCACTCGTCCTTGCAGCAGTTTCACATCGAACTCTACAGTATGTATTGGATAAAAGGATTTCTTGTTACTTCTCCAATTTGTCCTAATTTAGGCTAATCAATTTTGTTCTGAGGCCAACTATTTATTCAATCTGGATTGCTGGGTTTTCCTTCTGTGGCTATAACTATGAATACCATCTTAACTTGTGGTTATGCTAATATTGATTGCATCATACCAATGTGGAAATAAGAAAAATGGATTCTGAGTTTTAATGGCTTGGTTTGGATGTTTTTGGTCAAATTTTGTTCATGGTGGATTCTAAAATAGTTGAATTTCTTTTGAGATGAATGAAAAAAATGGAATATACAAAGAATCAATTAAAATTTATATTATCTCAAAATAAATTCGATAATTTTAATTTTATCTTGAGCTCTTTGTTTCTATCACAGTTAAATAGCTTATGGTTTTGTTTGAGACGGCTTTTTTGTTAGTGTCTAAAACAGTTTTTTATTATTGAATTTTTTTTAATTAGAAATTTTTGTATATTGCACAGAATAATCTCTCAACTACACATTAATCTCATCGACCTAAATTGGCTTTGAAGCCTGTCCAACACTGGCCTATGTATCAGTATCTTAACATAGATTTTTATTTTTGGGCCATTGAAATTAAATAGCTTTAAACTATCTAATTTTGGCAAATTCAATCCAACCACCCAAAATGAATTGCAGGACTCTTAATAGTAGTGGTTGGATGGTTTTAAAAATGAAAAAAAATATAATCCAAAAGAAGACCAAACAAGCTACTACTCCTCATAGTTTTTGTCTATTTAGTTTCCCGAAAAATTTTGCAAATTAAATGCATAGTAATAAATTTGATCAACTTGTTGTCATTGAGGGCCTACTGTTTTGAAGAAGTATTTGATGGCCGATTCTGGGGAAGTCTGTCTGTGCCAAATTCCTTTAAAATATAATTGAGGTAAAGCAAATCCTTTGAACAAGTCATTGAGAGGATTAATTATTCTGTGCGGACACGGAATATCGTTCCGAGATCTATCAGAATGTGCCACATCATTTCTTCACTCGGTACTGCTATCGTGACGCATTCTGCATTCGGTCTCTACACAAAATAATTTCTCCATTGAGAGAGGCCATTTTCTAAGGGTGGAAATCAACTAATGATTGATTGAAAGCGATGAAATTGTATAATGAGTTTTATAAGAGAGAGAGAGTCATAATATGCACTAAAAAAATTAGAGTAGAAGTGAATGAGAAGTAAATTTTTTTAAGGGAGCGTTTCAAAAAATAGTCGGCCCTTGTAAACTTTTTAAGAGAGTTTCTCTCTCTATGTCCTAGTTAACCCCTCCTTATGTTCCTAGAGTTAATATATTGGCAATTGGCATCCCTACTTTGATGATTTTTGCAAAATATAATAGTTGTCTAGAACTCGGTGTTTGTGTGGAGAAAAAATGTTCTTGCCATTTAGTTTGTTTAGAGGTGCCCAAAAATTTTGGAAAGAAAGAGTTGAATAGTGACATAGTAATAGGTGAAGATGAGTTTACAAATGGGTGAAGTGTTGTAGAACTGATGTGAGTAGAGATGAAAAGTGGGAGTTATATGAGCGAGAGCGTGTTAGAAGGAAGAAAATAAGAATGAGCGATACATAAGATAAATTAAAGCTTCAATGAGTTAGAGGGAGATCCAAAGGAGTAAGAATTTACAACGAGCAAGTGGTGCAAACCTAACTTATAACCATGTTAAAGACGAAGTATCACGATGTATTAAAACTTCAATGAGTTAGAGCGAGATACAGAGGAGTAAGAATTTACAACGAGCAAGTGGTGCAAACCTAACTTATAACCATGTTAAGGACGAAGTATCACGATGTATTCATTCATTAGGAAAGCTCCCCAATGTATAATAGAGAAGAAAACATATACAACATATAATATCAAACAAATTATCCCTCTAAATATTTTCCTATAGTAACCTAATTTTTCCTCTTATGAAGGAAAAAAAATTTAAAAAAAACAATACTTATGAAGGAGTTTTCCATATTTATTGTAAAAGGAGCCTTTATTAACACTCAACTTATAGCTAAATTTATCAAATTTAGTCACAGCTGTACTAAAGTCACATTAATTCATTCTACTCTTGATTTTATGTTATTATTACAGTCCTATTGTCATATCTTATTTTAAATATATTAAGTTCGTTTTAATTTATTTAAAAAATAGATAAATTTGGGGCAGTGAGCAATGTTTCCATGCAATTAATTTGGAATGCTCCAAATTCAAGCGAATAATAAATTCCTCATAAAACGAGTTAAAATACTTTAAATTTATTACTTAATAAGCATTTGACGCTTTTTTTTTACTTTCTATCCCAAAAATTATGGGCATTGAAGATCAGTATCTTCTTCGCAGAAGCAATCGAATGGAGTGATGGTTACTGCTCATGTATGATTAAAGGGCATTGGTGTAGGCTGGGATATTCACGGCGGTAGAGTGTGTAAATTTTTTGTTTTAGCAATGCAAGAATATTCAATACACAAAGATATAGTTGAAGATAGAGAAAAAAAATACTGGATTTTTTTTTATGTGGATAACCCGAAGAGGGAAAAACTTTGGGGCCTCGCTCAGGTGAAAAGATTCTACTAAATTTAAGTGAATTATAAAGGTTGATTGATCTCTTAACTCAGAGGTGGTGCAATTACAATAGATTTGAGAGTTTGGAAAAAGTCGGACGATGGTCAAGAGAAAGTCCGAAAACAGTCATACAGTAGTCCAACGACGGTGGGTGGTCGGGTGGAAGTCCAGTAGCGGTCAATGACAGGGGGGTAGTCGAATGGCGGTCGGGCGGAGGTCCAATCCGGTCAGCTGATGGAAGTTCACCTGCGGTGGTGCTTAAGTGGAGCTCAAGATTCTTGAAGCTTCAGTGCTCTCTCCAATCTCCAGCCAAAAGTCCTCCTTCATGTAGAGTGGAGGTCTATTTATAAATTTTTGTGAGTGATATACCCTATAAATATGAAGAAGATCTAGGGCAGATTCAGAGTGTTTCATTGGATGGCCCATATTGATTCCACCACTTATGAAGTATTTTTTTTCAGCATTTAAGTGTCTTAATGGTCTCAAAACTAAGCGATCTTGAGGTTGTTGCATTTGTCTTGTCGATCCACTTGATTCGACTATAAGCATGTCATATTTAGTGATCATTTTTTCATCCGATAATTATTTTAACCTTCGAAATACGCTTCAGTCCCTTGATTTGAACCCGTTTGGGCTGGGATTGGATCTATTTCGGGGTCATTGGGTTTGCTTCCTTGAGATGTTCAATTTAGCTATAAGTTTGTTGAAATCAAAGTTTACATGATTCCAATTTTAATTTTGAAAGTTTCTAACTTGAATATACCTCAAGATTCGTGCCTGATCGAATTAATTTTCAATGATGTATCAGTCATGACTTCTAAATTTTTATAGGATTGCTTGAATCTTGGGATCACTTATTATCTGTACAATTGAGTTCCATTATTAGACCAACTCAATTCGAGCATCATTACATGTGTATGTCATCCGCCGCCAGCTCTAATCGAATGCAAAACACCTCGGCAATTTTACGAGTTGAATATGGTGATGTCAATATTTGCATTGCACTATTCACAGATGACTTTTATTTTTTTTTTAATACGAAGAAAATTTGGTTATTAAGTTTAGGTTCTTTATTATTAATTTTTAAAATTAATAAATTATAAATGCATTATTTTAAATTTTTTAATGTAATCCATTTATTTAAATTAGGTTATTCATTTTAAATAATTTATAAACACATTTATGTGCTTTAATGTAATTTTATTTCATTTAATAAATATTTATTTTATTAAGTGCATAATTGTATTCTGAATTAATTTATCAAGTAAGATTTATTTTTTAATAAAAAAATTATATGTAGACCTAATTCAAAATTTTGATAAATATAAAGATATGATTACAAATAAATATAAAGAAAAAAGATGAGAAAAATATACTTAGAATATTATTTTTATGTTGAGAAACAGAGTTCGATTGGAGATGAGTTATTGTATTTTGGAGTGTTAATGAATTTTGAAGTGGAAAATGAATTTTGGAGTGTTAATGAATTTTGTTTGGTTTGTAATTTTCCAACCTTTTTTTTTCTCTTAGAAGCTGATTGGTTTGTTGAAAAATAAATGAAATGTATTTGAAATGTTTTGGTCTTGTTTGAATAAGTAGTAAGCAAATGCAGAGGATTCTTTTATTATTATTTTTTGCTTGAAGTAAAATGATTGCAATGTAAACTCCAAAGATGTTAGTAGTTAGTGGTTGGTGGTGGGGGGATAGTTGTCAAACAACACTAATGGGAGGGCGAGTGGTTGCTAGTGGCGATTAGAGTTGGAGCGATGGCTAGTGGGGGTGGGTGATGGTGACAATGGATGACAACCCATGGTAGGCGGCGGTGGAGGTTAGTGATGGGGGTGGTGCAAGCGTTGACTATTGTGACTGGATGTGGGTAGTTGTTGTGGTCGGTGGTGGGTAGTGGGCAACGACATTGGCCGGAGGTGGGCGGTGGTGGCGATGGTAGTGGCTAAAGATAAGCGGTGGCCAATGACGATGACGGAGCTCATAGGTAGTTGTCATCAACTGTGACATGGTTGGTGGCTAGTAACGACAACAAACAACTAAATATGGCAGTGGCCGTCGAGTGATGGTGGCGACCAAAGGTAGGCGATGGTTGGTTGCAGTAGATGTCGATAACTAGAGTGGCGATGGCGGTCGACAGACTAATTGGGTGGTGATAATGGCTATAAATTTATAGTGCGTTTGGAAATATCTAAAATATGAAGAATTTCAAATACATCAAAATTGAACTAGGAAATAAATTTTAAATGCATCAAAATTTTATGTTGCATTTATTTTACTTTAAACCAAATATAAATATTCTCAAAGCACGTGCATTTGAAATACTTTGCATTCATTTTATTGCAAATCAAACAACTACTTAATAGAATTGTATTTTCTATTTTGCTTCATCTCAATAGTAATTTCTTTTTTGTTCAAAATTTTAAGATTTTTTTTTAAAATTTTTCTCCTAAAATTACTTATGACCTAGTTTTATTTTATCCAACTGCAAAAAAAATCCTAATTCAGCTCCTAATAAGAACTAAATACTATTAATGAGAGAAGAGAATTCTTTTTTTCTCAAATTTATTAATTAATTAATTTTCTAACCTTTTTATTGATCTTTTTGCTAAAGCGTGATTTCTGATTATATAATTTTTAATATAATTAATTTATTGAACTTTGGCTGTTATTATTAATTAAATAAATAAAATATATTCCGTACCATATTAGTTATTACTGCTACAATGGTGCGAATATACAAGTTATAAAGTCCGTGCGCGCTGTTATTTCGGCTTAAAAGCTGAAGCCACCCTACCCACTGATCTTGCACACTCACATCGCAATCGAGAACTCTGTAGAGTCGCCGGTGACATGCTAGACAAGTAGCCGACGTCGAGCCCAACTACAGGGAAGAACCCTTCGCCGACGCCAGATCTTGATCTGTTTGGGATCTAGAAGTTGACAGATCGCAGCTTTTGGTAGATGCCCAAAAAATCCCATTCTCTCTCTCTCTCGCAACAAGTAGAAGGTTGCAAAAGTTTGCTTTTGGTTTCTTTACATATTTTCTGTTAATGGATGTCTTTTCCGATCTCGATTACTGGAGCATGCTATCGACATTAAAAAGTTTTATTTTTTTTTCTTGAAAGTTTTGGAGTTGGATTTAAACCTAGTTCACACGACTGCATTTGTCCTTTCTGTCATGGTTATGTGCACGGATGGGTGTTTTTTGTGGAAGAAATTTCGCATAAATGCGATCCCATGCTGTTTTTAATGATTGGAAGGCATGATCTTTATGAATGATCTGAGGATTTGTTGTTTTTTTATAGTGTTTTTGCTTGGATCGAACCATTTTATCTCTCTCACTCTTTCTTTGAGGAAAGCTTCCCCAGGTATTTATATATTTTTAATTTCTGTCAAAAGATAATCAGCTTTCGTCATGCTGGGGCTTCCACCGGCGAGAATCTTTTTCGGCTTAACTTTTTTCATTCTTTCCAAATTTGCTCAAGCTTTCTTCCTTTTCTTGATTCTGATTTTAAATTTTTTCTTTCAATTTAAACTGTTCGATTTTATATTTGCGCATCTACTTTTCTTGGTTTTTAAAATTTTCCCCTTTTTTCCCCTACGATGTGCAGTTTGGATCTTTCTAAAATCTACATCTCAGACTACCTGATTCTGATCGTGATGTTCTAGTTTGGTTAGAGCTTCACAAGTGGAGAGCCCCTCTGCAGTCCTCTAGAGGAAAATTATCTCCAATGTAAGCCTGGTGAGTAATATAGCTGGTCATATCATAATCTCCAACATAAGAAAATTAAAAGGAATAAACCATTTCTGTCGATCTCTTTTATGATTTTTTTTGGCCAGGTTGAAAGATGAATGGTTTGGAGATAAAAAAAGCTTAGGACAAAAGTGTTATAACCAACATGTAAAGGAAACAAGTTCAATATGTTTGACGTGAGCATTGGTGTGGTTAGAACAAAGCTGCTCACTGATAAAACGCAGGGAGAAGGTAAAACTGTTTTCTTTTTCTTTTGTTGTTGTCTTTTTTGTTCCTTCCTCTTTCCTTAAGTCTTAATTGCAGTTGTACATCAAGATGATGTGATTTTATGATTTTTCTTATTTGGAATCCATGGGGTACTTTAATTTCTATGCATTAGTTATTATTTAGTTAGGGCATCTCCAACCGAAAATCCCATTTTCCACTCCAAAATGCAGTAAAACTAAAAAATGTTGTGATTCATCTCCAATCGAACTCCATTTTCGCGCTTCTGCGAAGGTAACCGTCTTCTCCTCTTTCGCTCGTTTCTTCGACAAATCCAGTTGACATAGAAAAATTGCGTAGGTGAACAGTGCCACTCCAATATTGGTGTTGCATTGTTCACCCTCTACCGATTAGTAATTTTTTTGCCGTTCGAATGGAGCAAACCAGCTACACCTTACAGTCGTTTGGAGTTCGGCTGGAGACGCCCTTAGTAAGCTTCTGGTTTCAATATAGCCGTTTGAATAAGATGTTTTGAACAGTATATTTGTGGGATTTTTTAGCCAAGTTTACTCCGATTGTAATTTACACCGACTTGAACTCTGTTTATTGACTATAAGGCAAAAGAATTACATGCAAAATATTTCTATTGTTAGGTTCAAGGTGAAATTGATTTATATTATGTTGTTGTTCACTATCTTTATGAACTATTTGCAAATTGATATTGCAAATTTGATCATATATAAATTTTAGGGCTTCACTTACATTGCAATGTTTTTATATTTTTTCGTGGCTACTATCTCATGATTTATGCAACCAGAGATTTTGAAGCTATTCGTTTGATACCATTCACAAGTTTAGGATTGTTAGCATGAATTTTTTCAGTATCAGGTTATCCAGTTCGCAAGGACCAGCCTGATTTTGTGAAGAAAGCAATTAATATAATTGGTTCCCAGGTATGCACTGAAATGAACTGTATATATATCTTGATGTTGTAAGAACTATGCCTTAAACGAAAAGCTAATATATGTTCTATCTTTGGTATGATGACATGTAACTAATTAGTTATGGAAGAGAGCTGGGAGGAGGTTGGGTGAAACTTCGATGAAGATGCTAATAGCACAGGAAATGTCAACTGCAATAGAGTTGAAAGAGAAACCGCCCAGTATTGTTGCAAAATTAATGGGCCTGAATTCATTGCCAGTCCAGCAAAAAATTCCAGCTTGCAGAAGGAATTTGCAAGAGACTGATTCTCACCACCGGAAGCAGCAAGAAAGCAACTTTAATCAGATGAAGAACAGGAGTGACTTGCACATCCATGAAAAGAAGTATAAAGATGTGTATGAAGTTAAGAACCAACTTTCAAGCAATGATCAAATGGGTAATGAAAATCTTCATCATAGAGACTATCATGGAAACTTGACAGAGAAGAGGATGGCTCTTGTTCACCAGAAGTTTATTGAAGCAAAGCGCCTAGCTACTAATGAAAGACTTCTCCAGTCAAAAGAGTTCAAAGATGCTCTTGATGTGCTAAATTCAAATAAAGATTTGTTTCTCAAATTGTTAGAAGACCCAAATTCTCTATTCTCTAATCAACTGAAGGACCTCCATCAAACTACTTCTTTGGGGACCCAGACCAAGTGCATAACTGTACTGAAACCAACAACATCAATTGATGTAGATCATGAGAAATGTGCAAGGAAGAACCGATGTACAGGCAGTGAAGAGATTAGGGACATTGCTGGACATGACTTGAGCTCTTGTTTTTTTCTTCCGAAGGCTGAAGCTGTATCTCCACCCACCAGAATTGTGGTTCTGAAGGCTATCTCTGCAATGCCTCATGAAGGACAGACCAATCTGGTTTCTCATATTTCATTACCAGTTCGAGGAAGTAGAAACATAAACGGAAATTTGAGAATTGACGAAGATATAAGATCAAGTGAAGCAGCTAATAAAATTATTCATAAAATTCCAAAAGATTCAAAAAGAACACAGAAGGATGAATACCGAAGAGCTTCAGTTCTATCCAATGGATATGTTGCTGATGAGAGTTCACCTAGTAGGTCTGAAACTGATTACAGAGAAGGGGGCAGTGACTGCAGTGACTCTGAGTTGGTGACTCCAACCTCTCAGAATTCGTGGGTACATATGAGATCTGATAGTCCAGGGTCCCTGTCATCCTTCAGCCATGCATCCTACTCGCTCGAGTCATCAGTGGGCAGGGAAGCCAAGAAACGGCTTTCAGAAAGATGGGAATCAGTAACATCAAATGATAGTAACCATGAACAAGAAAATTTTAGAAATAACTCAAGTACGTTGGGTGAGATGCTTTCCATTCCTGAGTTAAAGAAAGAAGAAGAGGGGACTGATAACCTGGCCATTTCGCCATTGGGTTCCTGTGGTCAAAAACAGGACGTAAGCATGGCGCAGGAATCTATTGAGCATTCTCCTAAGAATTTTAAGAGTTCAGGGTCCCTTCCAGCTTCTCCATTCCATGAAAGCATTAGGGAGAATGAAAAAAATTCTCTCTCACTGTCTAGGAAATCTTTTCTTCTTAAAAAGACTCCAGAAATGAAAAATGAAAGATCAACTTTTAAGGAGAAAGTTTCAGGTTTATTCTTTTCCGGGATGAAGAAATTGGTGAGGGTCAAACCTAACCTTTCCACTTCAAGTCCTGATGGCAGACTCCACTCAGCCAGTTCTTCAAGTATAAAAAATGGCCAACCAGAACCTTCCCTTGATAGGATATCTGATGAACACGCTTCAAAAACTTCGGAGGACAAATTTGCCAAGTTTTTATCTCCTATTTCTGTCAGTGATGCAGAAAAACATGGGAATGCCTCCCTTAAGGTGACTAATATGCATACATTTTTCTTCAGAATTCTCGCTTGTGCTTCGGTTGTAGAGGTGCTTGTTGTAAACAAACAGTAGATTAAAGCTAAAGCTTTTTGTGCTTCGTTTTGTTTTCTCCAATTCACCTTATATTTGCCATGTTTTACATTTAACCATCACTAATTCTTTCTAAAAGCTGCAGTTGGATTGTCCATTTGGTTTGTGAAATGTATTGCAGCGTAGATATTAAATGCACTTTCACCTTAATCCTTTAGAGATTAAGCAGTTTCTTCCTAGGTATCCGTTGAAAAATGATTTCTTTAATTTCTTCAGGGCAATCGCTCAGTGGAGAAACTCTGGAAATCTGATGTCTCCAGAGAGAACTCCAACCTTCCTAGTCACTTTTCAGTGTCAGAAAGACCATTTCAAGAAGATTTTTTCAGTAATGCCTCCCATTCTTCTCAACGTGCCATTACTGGCAATCCACGTGAGTGTTTATAGTTTGCTTGCCCTTCTTTATTTACATGTTGCATATCCTTTCATAGTCTGATTTCCATGACTTACTGAATTGCAGAAGCACTCTCCAGATCCCCCCTTATCAGTTCAGTTAGCCGCTCCTCAACTTTGGAAAATACACACTTTGAAAATTCACTATCAAACTCCTTGAAGCTTTTTAGGCTTTTCTCCAAAGAAGATGAGGAGCATGAACGCCTTGATTTCATCTCAAAGCTTCTTTCTTCTTCAAACATTGCTAATGAAAGGTCCAGTGCTTTATTAGCCAAATCTTACTCTCTCGATAGTCCATTAGATCCAGTTATGTTGGATGAGTTCTTGGACCGGAAAGGTGAAGAAGCCAAATGCCGGGAGAGACGATCAAACCAGAGGCTGTATTTTGATTGTGTCAATGGTGCCCTTAAAGACATTTGTTGCTGTGCTTTAGTAAATGCATATCCATGGTCCACAACAGCTACCAGGACTCAAAATCATGCTAAAACTAATCAAACAGTGACAGATGAAGTTTGGTGCCGTTTAAAGGTTTGCTTTTCTGAGGAAGAAAATTGTAATCCAAGCAAGGCTGAAAACAGTAAACAATATTTAGATTATTTGGTGAAGAAAGAGGTAGCTGGAAGTGGACTGGCTGAATCAATGTGGCTGGAAATGGATGAATTGAGTAAAGAGATAGGTGAGAAGGTGCTGGAAGAGTTGTTTGATGATACTCTGGCTGACCTATCTAATTAGGTTTTGTGATGAGTTCTGTAAGCTTTTTCTTCCTTTCTCATTTTTCTTGTATATTGGCAGTTTGACACCTAATTATTGCCAGCCAGGGGTCACTGGCAATGGACATTAACAGTTCATAGTATCATACATTTCCCCAGTTGTAAAACTTGGCATTTTAATTTTTAACTTACAGTTGGTAGCATTGCTCTGGTTTTAAATGGAAGTGCCTAGATGTAAAACTGCTGCTGTTATGAATAATTGTACTTAGTACTGATTATAGCTGTAAATTTGAGTTTATGATGGTTCATTTTTCAACCTTGCAATCCAGATACCTGATATTTAACTAGGAAAACAAGTTCCAATTGGTATGCTTATACATGAAAATTCATGGCTTCACTATAACCGATTTTATATATTTCTTTTCATTACTAAGCATAAATGAATGGAGAATGAAGATTCATTAAGTTGCTTGATTGAGATGATGGAGAATGAAGATTCAAAAATAAGTGTAATATTAATTATTTGTAATGTATAGTGGAGGTAGGTTTAGATCATCTCGAACTGAATTGCATATTATTGTATGCAATTCGTGAATCACTGCATTCAAACTCTAAATCTCACGTCATAAATCAGTAGGTGAATAGTGCGACTTCAATATTGGCGTCGTACTGTTTACCTATGCCAAAAAAGCGATTACCTTCGCACTCTGTTTAGCTTCGCAGGATGCTCACAAAACAGGAGAGATGTTTATATTCGCAAAGAAGCGCATGAAAAAAGAAAAATGGAGTTCTATTAGAGATGAACCGCTGCATTTTGAAGTTTTACAACATTTTATAGTGGAAAATGAGGTTTTCGGTTGGAGATTCCCTTAAGAGGTACTGTGCTTATTTGTTTGGTATTTTGATGCTTCTAACAGCTCTAATCATTAATCTTCCACTAAACCTCTTTCCAATTATTAGATTAGAATTTAAATGAAAAGAAAGCAACATGTTGCTTCCTTTTGAAGGAAATCATCTACCTGTCCATGAATATATTACAAGAGAATTTATTTCTGCTTACCTGCTCTTCAGGTGATCTTTCCAATTATTAGATTAGAATTTAAATGAAAAGAAAGCAACATGTTGCTTCCTTTTGAAGGAAATCATCTACCTGTCCATGAATATATTACAAGAGAATTTATTTCTGCTTACCTGCTCTTCAGGTGATGGCTTAAGGTACCTATATATAGTCATGATGCTGGGTTAAGAAAGATTTTTAAAATGTGGCAATTTATACCTAACTATGAGCATAACAGCAGCACAAAAATAATTATAGATGACCTTTCTAGTTTTTTTTTTTCATCAGAGCACTAAGATTCTGTTTGCTCATGTAAACAATCACATTGGGTAGTTGATGACTTAGAAAGTGACAGGTTTTATAGAGTGTACTGATGCTTTGTTTGTCTGTTCTTATTATGATACTATTGCATTGTTGATGATTTATTTTACTTTGTAAGGGTTTTTGATTATGACATGTGAGATTGGCTTTTTTCCTGCTTCTTAAATAATTTTTTAGTATAAAATTAAAAATTTTATACTAAAAAGTCGCTTTAAGAAGAAGTTAAAAAGCCGTCCCAAACAAAGCCTGAGTTATGTAAATTTCGATAGTTTTAATGAGATGCAGTGTAAGAATGTAGTTAGTGTAAATCTAAGGTTTCATTTGAGACTGTTTTTTTATTATTTTTAAAGTCAATTTTTAGTACAAAAAAAATTAATATATACTCGAAAGTTGCTTTAAGCAGCAGCAAGAAAGTCGTCTCAAATGAAGCCCTAAAAAAAATTGTGTACTAAAAATTGTTTTAAGAAGCAGTAAGAAATTGTTCCCAAATGATGTCTTAGTACTCCGGTTGTAAAAGGTAGTTTTAAACTATAGAAATTTTTAAAAAATAATTTCAGTAAGACAATTGTAGTCAATCAAAATTATGATTGCTGTCTAAAAAATAAGAAAGTTAGAAAATTGTCCCAATAAATTTTAAATCTCATATTTTTTGCTTCATACTTAGGGTCTGTTTAGGATGACAGCAACATTTTATAAAGTTGGTTTTGAAATTGTTGTAGAGAAAACAACTTCACTATTATTATTGCATAAGTTATTTTTTGCCACAACAATTTTTGAAAAACAATAAATACGCAGTGCCCAAATAAAATTTATGTTTCGTTTGAGATTTCTTTCTTGCTGCTTCTTAAAATAACTTTTTAATATAAAAATTAATTTTTTTGCACTAAAAAATTATTTTAAGAAGAAGTAAGAAAGTGATCCCAAACGAAACCTTAATTACTGTTTAAAAATAAACAACTAGAGAGCTGTCAAAGATAACCTTAGGCCATTCAAAACAGCATAGGTAAGAACCAGAAACTACTAATACAGTGAAAACTGAAGCCGCAATAAAATATAGTATTTATGTTTATGTATTTATTTAATTAAATAAATTAAATTTAAGTTAAATAAAAATTAATTTTAATTCGACTAAAAATTGAATAATTTAAAGTCGAGTTTAATCAAATGTTTATTTTATATTTTAAATTTAATATGAGCTTAATTGAGATTCAATTCACCTTAATACTTAGTTTATATATCATAT